TCTGCAGAATGGGCTAACAATGCATTGGGCGGATGCAGTGAGCACCTCAGGGGATCCTCAGGAGAGAGTGCCACTGTGGTGCTGTGGTGGCAGAGGCTCCTGACAGTGAGAATGAATGCCGGCCTGTGGGTCGGTAGCACATCCCAAAGCAGCTACCCTCAAAAAGGAGAAAGGGCTCCAAAGTCTTGTGCTTTACCATGAAGATTTATGTGAATTTTTAAAGTTCTGTTCCATGACATAGTCGTGTCTTTTTATATAAAAATATTTTAAATTACTTTCCAGTTAAATAACTAAAATTTCTCTCTCCTCTCTCCCCTCCCTAACTCCCACACCAACTCTCCTTATAACACACCTCAAGTAAAATTGATACTCCTTGGCTACTCACCTATTCCCCTAGTTGTAAAGACATCCCAGTTTCAGAAACTCTGAAGGAAGTTTCTATGCAAAAATCAGATTTTCACAACCAAGTTACAATAAGAAATCTAGTATATTAAACTCTTTCCTAGATTGCCAAGATTTTTTAATTCCCATTCTTCTCCCACCTTGTCTACTCACCATCAATAAAGTAAAAATGCAGCATGGAAATTGAAGGCAGAAGACGCAATACCGGAGAAGTTGGTATTCTGCGAGCATGCGCTGCAGAGCCATTACACAACTCATACATTATTCAGGGTAAATTACACCCAGATAAGTTGTGTTGAGATGTCTCCCACATCTCAAAGACACAGGGTTCTACTATAGAATTTGTCAATTTTCCAAATAGGTCTCCAAGACTTGAATAAAATCATTGGTCTATCATTGTTAAGGAAAGAAGACCTCATATCTAGTTTTTGCATAATAAAATGCCTTAACTTAGATACTAAAATTTTTATCTTGGCCTCCTAATTCAAAAGAGAGATTTTTTTTTCCTGGTTTATAAAGTAAACATGCCTAAATGATGGTCTCCTGGTCTAATAAATTCAGCTTTTAATGATTTAGAACAGGCTTAAAAAAAAACTTACTACTGTGTAATAGTCAGAATGCCATAAACATGAAGTTATATTCCAAATTACTTTTTCTTTCTTTAAATATGTCAAGTTAAGTTGATTTATAGACTTACATAGGTCTCCTAGGGGAAGGTTATAGAAAGAAAGAAATGCTTCATACAAAACAGTTAGGGATCTTTCCCTTAGATCTTAGAATCATGTAAGTAAAAAATTATATTTTAAAGTGTCATGTGATGATTATATATAAACACACATATATAGTGTGTTTATAGTATAGTGTGTTTATAGTATAGTGTGTTTATAGATAGTAACAATAAATGGAGTTGTCTAACCTATTAACCAATTGAAGTAAGACTAAGCAGTGTATTTGTACTTGGAAAGTAAATGATACTTTTTCCATTTTGTGATTTATTACTTTTAAGTCATGACTATAAAATTACAAATATCATCAGCATAAACCACCGGTCTCTCAAGATTACTTTTTTATTAAAATTTGTGCCATAAAGTTGATAGATATGCTAAGATGAAATTTTCAGTGATTACATTTTTTCTCTTTTTATCATGGGCTTTGGAGTTCTCTATATTTCCAGAGCACATGCAAAGTAGTAGCTTCTGTAGTTCTGGGAAGGTAGAAGACCTCAATTGACCCACAGGTTTGGAGAGAATTTTATATTTTCCTTGAAAATTTAACTGACTATTTTAGAAAAAGAGTTTTCAAGGCTAAGGGTTTTATAAGAGAAGGTCATGATGCAAGCAGGGACCTGAGGTGCTGTGTGGGCAGGACCTGCCTGTCCCGGGGGACCCCGAAGTGTCCCTGCCCCTAGACTCTAGCTCAGAGGCCACTGTAGATAACCAGGAAAAAGGCAGTATGTGAATCTTTCATAGTCTTAAATGTTGCCCCAAATAAACTATTTAACTCGGGAAGGGGGAAAATATTGTATTTTTCTTATTATAAAACCAAGACATGCTCAATGACTAAAAAATAAATCAGAGACTACAGAAGCGTCAAAAGTAAAAAACAAACAAACAAACAACAAAAAAAACTGAACATCTCTTAAACCTCCCACACAACCTCTACCAACAAACTCTATACCATCAATGCCATTCTCTATAGGCACTCACTGTTAAAGGCTGGTGTATAAAAATCATGTAACAACTTTCTATGAAAATATATTCTATACATGTATTATTTTATTATATAACAAAATGGAATCTTATTATATTATACATATTGTTCTGCGTGTCCATATGGAAAACCTAATTATCACTGGAAGGCTTTTCAGACACAGTAAAATCAGAAAAAGTAGTTGAATTGCCTTATTGGTTTAGTGAATTAAAGCTATGACAATGGTATGCTCCATTTACTTTATGGGAATTTAGCAGCAAATGGGTCAGAAGATGAGAAAGTTGTTCACTGTTTGGAGAACTTGATCAGCAGTCAGAACCAGGAACATGCATATAAACATTTGCACTCTGATGACTCCCTCCCCTCATTCTAAGTTACACACACACACACACACACACACACTATGTCCCCATGATTAGTACAACCTTTCTTTAAAAAGAATAGTAAGATTTAAAAATGTGCATGGTCTCTTATGGACTATACTTTATACAACTTGATTATGTTATATCATTGTCCAATTATTAAGATCACAATGGTTAGCGTAAGATGTTGATACATCATTATTTCAGACATTACACCCTCATAACCTTCACAGAGTTCTGTTTTCAGCTACATACTTGTTGACTAATCTTTGAGGTAAGTCATTTTCACAGGCTAATTACAGGTCACATTAACTGGCTAATCTCATCCATTATGTTTTGATTTTTCTTAACTTCATTACTTCATTTTTTTAATGTTAATGTTTATCTTGTGGTACTAAGGCTGCCGTGTGTGTATCTGTGTGTTTGTGTTTGTGTATGTGTTAGGCACTGTGAAAGCTGCGTAGACACTAAGGACAAAATATTAAATAAGGAACATGCTGAGGAGGTGTGCAATCACTGGTTTGGACCTTTGAAGAGTGTAGATTTGCCTAGACTTGCAATAGAAATGAATAGTAAAACATACATCTGTGTTGTGTTGGGTAATACTGTGTGAGTATCCAGACCTGTCTTTTCTTTAAATAAATTCCTCCAATATTTGTGAAGCACCCACTGTGTGCCAGGAACTGTGATGACCGTTGCTGACACAATGGTGAGCAGACAGACTAATCCTTGCCCGCATGGGGTTTCCAGCCTAGCGAGGAAGACAGCCATTAAGCCAGGATATACACAGGTGAGGGAGGTTCCCAAAGAGTAGGTGGCAGTGCTGTGGAAGCGTATAATAAAAGATCTAAGCCACCCTCCAGATAGGGGACCAAATTCCTTAAATTAGCCAGGCAAAGATGAGAAGAGGAAGAGATTTTCAATGCTGTCTGGGACTTCACAGTGAATGATCATTAAGGTTCCTGTTATTTTGGGAAATCGATGATTCTAAGACATTGACTAGCAAAACATTTTTTAATGGTCTTGGAGAATTACTAGGAGTAAGGTCTTACTGTTACTTCATGCTAAGAATATATACTGGGACTCTCAGAGTACAAGATTATTGCTTCTGACTCTGACCTGCCTGTCCAGGCACCCACCGATCACCGATTCTTGTTCATTCTCTTTCTCACCCGTCTCAACGGGCATTAGATGTCTTTCCCTCCCTCACTCTGATTACTCTTCCAGCTACACCCATCAAGCAACAATACAATAATACTGTTAAGTACGATGTTTCCCAAAATGTAATATGAAAGCTCTGGTATAAAAATAGAAATTTTAGGTTAGAACAAGAATAATTTTTTTAATAATTTATTTTTAAAAATTTCTTCTTTTAAAATAAACTCTATTGATATTAGCAAGTCAATTTAAGGAAACATATTGAGTAAATAAAAGTGGAACAAAATTAGGGCAACATTGTTATGCCAGGGGTACTCTAAACTGATTATTTAACCTTTGTGTACTTCATTTTTTTCCTTTGTAAAATGTGAATAATAAGACCTGCCTCATTGGTAAGGGTGAAATGGAAATGTCCTTAAGCTATAGCTGAGTGTTTGGTACATAATAGGTTTTTAACAAATGATGATATTCTTTTTCTCCCTTTCTTACTACCTACATGTTATCTTTCTGCTGTCAATTCCTACCTGGCCTTTACTATTAAAGATGAAAGATAAGATACTGCACATTGACTATATTTCAAATTAAAAGCCTGAGATTATCTTATTACCATTGTACATTTATCTAAGGTTAAGATGGACAGATAGGTAGAAGATGATAGATAGATAGACAGACAGACATAGGCATAAATATACATATGCCAGTACAAAAAGAAGTGATAAAGACTGGAAATCCTTTTTATGCACTAAAATCATTAGAGAGGCAGACAAAGAGCTTTAATATCATTATAACAAAGACTGTGTCTATTTTGTCTTGTTTTTTGCAGGTAAATAGGAGTGGGAAGTGCAGAGTGAGCTTTGAAACTAAAACAAAACTTTACCCTCAACAAGCCTCTGCCAGAGGAAAGGGAACTGAGAAAGGGAAGGGAGAAAGCCAACAAAGGGTGTGTTATAGCAGTTATAATTGTGGCCAGCTGGGGCTCAATCCCACAGGGGATACAGGCCAGTATATGCATTGTTTAAAGGAGACAGAAAACATAGTTGAATTCGATTTCTTTATAGTTGTCAGCTCCATATTTATGTTTTTAAATCTAGATACTGTTGAATATATTATGAGTAGGGATTGCTGAAAAGGTCAAAGACACTTTTTCTATAAATTAAGGAAATTATTTTAAAGAAAATATTTTAGGTGTTAAGAAACATTCCCATTTCAACTCTGCATTATATGAAGAAATTCAATTATTGAGATATTCCAAAAATGCAGAAAATGATCTAAAAGTTTTATAATGAATGCATAACATAAACGTTTTGTTAAAATGTGTTAAAGGGTTATACAGAAGACTAGGCATAATGAATACAATAATGAAAATAGTGCAACTTTTCAAACAACAAATATATTTCAGTTTTAGGAAGAACAACTGTGTAAATTACTGCAGAAACCACAGTCTATGTAATTATGTAACTGAGGCATATTCTTCAAGATCAAGTGCTTGGTTATAATCAGCCATAGCTTCCTCAATCCGTCCTATTTTACCACGAACCTTTGCTCTAAGATTGTATACTACACCATCATTAGGCACCAAAGACAGGGCTGCAAAAGAAAAAAATTTCAAGGTTTGTTTATGCTAGCATTAAAAAATAATCTCATTTTTTAAAAACAAAATTTTATAATATAAGAACTTTACTATTATTTATATGAAAACATTTTTCTTCAAACATAACTATTTAGTCAAATTAAACATATTGAATCTTTTTAAGAAAACTATCTTGGGGAAACATAGTATAATGTCTTTCTTTGAAACGTTGGCATCATCTGTGTATGATTTCTTAATAAGTCTCTATATTTCAGCTTACCAAAGCTGTTAGTAAGATATTACATAAAGGAATCTATATTAATTACATTAAGGACATGTTATCTAAAAACATTAATTCTTATATAAGTTTATCTAGACAAAAAGACTTGGTGACTTCTTTTATTGTCTAAAAACAATCACATCAACAACTGTAATTTTACTAAAATAATTGCCAAAAATATACCTTTACTAAGGTCTTCCTCAGCTAGTTCATATTGCTTTAAACAGCAGTATAATTGTGCTCTGTTAAAATATACTGCAGCCCAAAAGGGACAGCTTTCAACTGCATATGCAAAATCTTCTTTCGCTTCTTCATATTTCTTTAATATTGTATTGGCAACAGCTCGATTCATGAGAGCATATTTGTCTTCTGGATCAAACTTTAAAGCCTTTGAGAAGTAGTCACTGGCCTAAAAAATGTGAAGATAATGATAATTGGAATATATTTCCATTGACAACCATACAAAAATTTTAAGCACATTTACTCTTAATTTAAAATTAAGGCTGGTGGTATACCAAGGGGCCAGTGGAAGCATTTCATCCCAGATACAGAGGTGCATTGTCTGTAAAGAATGTAAAAACCAATAATAAAACTGAACAAAAGTTGGCTTTGTGTTATTACCATGTGTCAGCAATTCTAAACAATGTCAATGATAAAATATTCCTCCTTGCTGAGTTGAAATTCTCCCACTACTTGACACCCAAGCCCTATAGCCCTGTATATAGTTTAAAAAAAAAAAAAGGTAAAACACACATTAGAAAAGAAGTCCATACAAGAAGATAAAATACAAATGAGAAAAGTAACAGTTTGCCTATAAAAACAGAGGAAGAGCTAAACAGATAAATGAATTTTCAAAATAAGGTTCTAAGACATACCAAAAGGGATAAAAGTTAGCCATACCAAAAGGGATAAAATATTATAAGAAAGGGAGAGGAAAAATCAGCTTGTCAAGAAGACCCTTTGACTATTATCATATAGATTATTCACAATTCATCACTATGCTCGAAGTGTACAGTGCAGACCAGTTCACCACAATCTGGCTTCCATCTACCTCCCTTATTCCATGAGCTCTTCTCTTGCTAAGGTTGCCAATGTCCTCAAGCCAAGGGACATTTCCTAGTTCTTTTCTTCCATGACATTTCTTTGGGATGGACACTCTTGATCTTTCGTTACTTCTTAAAATCTTCTCTGTCCTTGAGACAAGGTGTCTTACTAGCTTTTCTCCTACCTCTCTGATCATTCTCTCTGTCTCCTTCACTGAACTATTTTCCTCTCTGTTTCTCAAAGATCTGTCCTCTATTCACTTCCATTATGGGTGATATGGAACGTTGACTGCATGGTGGCTGGGAGCCCAGACCATGGAGCCAGATTGCTGAGTTCATATCCTGCCTCTAACTTGGGTGAGTTACTAAAGCTCTATTTGCATAGAGCTGAAAAACAAAGGTAACAAATAAAATTCCACTTCCAGTGTTGACGTGAGAATTAAGTGACCTAATATGTAAAGTACCGAGAATGATATGCAAAATGCAGTGATGACTCAATCAATTATTATTGAAATGTCATTTTTTTCCAATGTCTATAAGTGGAGCAGCAACATAGCCTTCAGGTAATGTCCCATGAACTTCACTTTCTCTCACTTTTGAAAGGAAAGGCAATTAGATCAAGACTGTATAACCCATCCCTCCCTGAATCCCTGAATGGCAGCTATTCTATACCACAGTTAAGAGCAATTTAAGGATCTATTGAGATGGGGGCATAATTGACATCCATCTGTGAAGAGCTTGAAGAGAATTCGCTCCTCAAAGAAGGCTCACTCGCAATCATCAGAAATTGCGGCAAGGGAAAGACTCTAAGGAGGACCAAGAGTTTCTTCATAAAGTAATTTGGGCTTCATTTTAATTCACCAATAAATTATCAATAAAACCTATACAATTATATATTACAAGAGCATGGCTTTGACCATGTAGGAGCAAATGCCTACCTTGGCTAAGAGAAAAGAACTCAGTAAAACACCAATAGCACACCTAACTTTGTACAACATAACTTTCTATTGTAGCTTCCAAAATATATTACTTAAAAAATGAAAACCTACAAACTTAGTGAGGTTACTTGAAGTATAGGAGTATTATCTATAAAGCAATTAGAGACTAAAGACACCTACTAAAGTATTAATTATAGTAAAGTTACTTTAGTAAAGTAATACTTTACTAAATTACTGAGTTACTAAATTACTTTAGTAAAGTAATACTACAGTATTAGCCATAAAGTAATTAGAAACTAAAGACACCAATGAATGGCCTTGATTTTTTAACAATTGGTCTAATGTCCTCAATATCTGTAATGTGTATTCTACCTGAGTTAAAAACCAAACAAGCAAGCATTACAGACCAAAATGTGTGAAATATTGCCAAAACAGTACTTGGGGAAAAGACATAACCTTAGTGGCTTATCACAATATAAGTGAAGGGGTAACAACAAATAAATTAAGTTTCCAACTCAAAAAGATAGACAAAGAACAAGATAAATTGAAGGGAAGTAGAACAAAAGAGTGACTATAGACAAAAAGCAAAAATTAAAAAGAGTTTGAATCCTGTAAATCCATCACAATTCAAATAAATTCAAAAATAGAAAATATCATCTAATAACCCAACATTTATATATCAGACATGAGGAATTGCGGTCCAAAGAGGTTAAGGGGGGTCATACAAAACCAGAACTAAAATCCAAATAGTCTCACTCCCAGTCAAATGCTCAGGTGACTGAAGTTTAGAAAAGGTATAAATTAAAATGAGTTAGATAATCACATCATAAAGAAGGTCTTGAGGGAAGTGTAAGTGGGGGAAAAGAACAAAGGATTCCAGGCTGGAAGCTGGTTTCAATAGATATAGCCAGGGAAGTGCTAACACTTTGAGAGGTCCAAAAGATTGTTTACTGGACAAGTGTTGAATGTTTGATGATAATGAGAAGAATAAACCCCAGAGGTATAAACATTAATAAATAAATTATAAACATCCCTATGAAAAAGAACATTTAAAAAAAAAAGAACAAATGAATTAGTGAATTATTAACCTGAGATAGTAAGGATTACATTTTGAAACTGCATATATGACAAAGAAAGCATTTAATGTCGAAAAGGAAATATTAAGGAAAACTCACATTACCTGGGAAAACTGCCTGTGGTGAAAGTAGATATTTCCTGCATTAAAGTAAGCAAGTGAGTACTTGGGGTTTAGAGAAATTGCTGCTTGATAGTCTTTCATTGCATTCTGCCGTTGACCCATAAACTCATGAATCACACCACGATTTGTTAAGAATTCTGCTGTAGTATTGATCTGCAATATAATAGTATGAGTATTTGGCATCTGGGAATAGTATTTATCTCCAATTTCATGTCTGCAAAAATGAACGTTATGAAATCTACTTGTGGGAAACTAGTAATTTTATAGGGCAGGTAAAACTCCATTAGAGCAAATATTTTGAGAAAGGACTTGGCATGAAGTTGGTTCAATGTCAACAGTTTGTTGATCTGGTTGCAATAAAACAAATAATCTTAGTGTTTTACTCCATTACTTTCAAAGGAATAGACATAGCGGAAAAGCTTATCTGTTTAGCTATGTTAGGCTAGAGAAGAAATTAGATTTAATAATTAACATGCTTATTTGTCCTATGTAGTAGCAATTATATTTCAGTTCTTTCCTTTTCCTCCTCTTGAATATTACTACATCTCCCAAATCTACAGAAACAAAGCCTAAAAGCTAGAAGAAAACATGAGTTTCTGTCATTACATACAACATGAGGGTTTTATTTGTCATTTCACTGCAGGAAAAATCTGCGAAACATTGTTCTTTCTTTTGTTCTTTATTTCTTTCAAATCTAGAACATTATTTTACATTTTGCGTTCATTGTGTATTACAAAATAATATTGATGTACCAGGAAACTATAAACTGTATTTACTGAAAGGAATCAACATGTATCAGGAATTTGGGTTTTTGAATTTTAAATCCATTTAGGTTACAAAATTGCCAAGCCATAATTCTACCCTAGAGATCACTCAGGGGAAAAGAAAAACCACATTATTTTCTCCACAAGTCACTTTAAAAAGGTAACTGAGAACTTCTTTATTAAACCTATTTATTGATGGTGTTAATTTATGCTAATAATAATACACTCTAAATGGATTTTTTACCTTCATGGCGGTATTCATATCCTGCATTGCAGCAAAATTATTACCCATCTGAAGACAGACCATAGCTCTGCCTTCATAGGCTAGGTAGCTCTTTGGATCAACTTCTGTGGCAATGGTAAAGTGCCTCCAAGCTTTCTGGAATTTTCCTTGATCCTAAAATAATTTTCCGATTACATGATGTAGGAAATAATCCATAACACACCAAATGTTTATGATTCTAACTCACTCAAACAAATAAAACCTCTAGTAAGGGTATATTTACATTGTGCTAAATCTAAGGTATTTTAAACAAAGTAGACTATACTATGAGTGTATACAGTTGGCTAATTATCTATGAGTGTTTATGATTAAATTTTAATTAGTTAAAATAAGTTTAATTGCAGTCATCTCTCATACCAATCTTGGACAACATAAAATTATGGCCACCATGTGAAACATCAATGCTTCTGACAATTGCCAAAAAATTTACATTGAGCTCCACACACAGGCAGGAATTGTATTTATTTGCTTGGCACTGAATCTCCAGTTATACATAAGATATGCATACTATACATAACAAAATAAGTACATGCTGAATAAATAAATGAATAAACTAATGGTGTGAAGCCTATTTCCATAAATTGTACCAGCATCTGGAATTTTAGAGTCACTATACATTATTCCATGGAAAATGCATGTAAATCTACAAAGCATCTGTTTCTACCAACCTTAGTGCCAATTGGAAAGGAAAGAATAAAGGTCAGGAGAGGGGCACTGTTAACAGAACAATGTCAGAGTGTTTCCTAGGGAAGACCAGCTGGCAACTGAATGTCTCCCCACAGGAAGGCAATGAGTTACTAAATTCATCTTGGTCCAAGGTCTGTCTTTTTCTCATGGGCTCAAAAACCCAATTTGCCAGAATCTCAGAAGCTCACTCACTTTAGCCCAGCTGAGCCCAATGACTCTCGCATAAAACTAAAAAGAAATTTAACTCTTAAGGGAACTGGACCCTATTTTTTTATTAGAACGTCTTCTCTCTCTCGGTATAAGCTATTAATATTTGGAAATCCACACTGTAATCACAAGTTCATTTAATAAACGAATTGGGAAAATTGAGATGAGGTTATTGGCATATTAAACTGCAAAACCCATCAAGATGGGATCTCTGTTATCTGCTCCTGACAATGTCTGTTGTGCTCACCTCTGTATTCCTAATGCTAGGCAAGTAGTTAGGGAAATCTACAGGTATTTGTTGAGCAAACTGTCCCTCCTTCCCCTGGGCAGAATTGGAATAGGCCCAACTCTCCTTTTTCAGTCCTTCTTTCCTGATTCAATTCTTTCCACTGATGTGCTTTTCAATTCCTTTTCAGGATGCTATATACCTAGTGAGACCTTCATAAAGTGCAAATTAGATGTCACCTCTCTGATTAGTGATATTCACATTTTTAACTGGACTATAAGGCCTTCAACTCCAGCCTGTCCCCTGCCCATAATATTCCGTCCACTGGGGCACTCTATCTCCTTCTTACAAGTCTTCCTAATGGGCTGTTCTCTCTGGAACACTGTATCCTAGCCCCAACCCACACTTTCACACCTCAACTTAAATGTTAGCTTCTCAAAAAAACCCTCTCACCTCTCAAAGCAAGCTAGGTTCCCTTGTTTTAAGTTGCACTAAAACTCATATTTTTCCTTTGTTGCACTTCTCATAATTATAATCAAATAACTATATATATATATATATATATATATATATATATAAAATTAAGTGTTTGATGCCTATCTCTCTACTTGGTAGTAAATTCTACAAGAAGAAACAAGTATATCTTGTTCATCGCTATATCTCTAGGCCTAGAGTGGTTCCCCATCCTATATTTGGTGCTCAGTAAACGTCTGTTGAAACTGGGCATGGTTGCTCACACCTCTAATCCCAGCACTTTGGGAGGCCAAGGTGGAAGGATTGCTTGAAGCTAATAGTTCAAGACCAGCCTAAGCAACATAGCAAGACTTTGTCTCTACAAAAAAAATAAATAAATAAATACAAAACTTAGCCAGGTGTAGTGGCATGTACCTGTGGCCAGCTACCTGGGAGGCTGAGCCTGGGCAACAGAGCAAGACCCTGTCTCAAAAAAAAGAAAAAAAAGTTCTGTTGAATACAATGAATGATGATGTTAACACATTTCATTGGATTTCAGTCAGCTCTAGTTGCCTTGAAAGTCACCTTGTCTCTTTAAATTGACTTTGCAAATTTGTACTGTGATCAATAATGGCCAATTTTGTGTTTAGCTCTAAGAAAGCAATCTTATATCTCTTATTAATAAGTTCTAAGGCATACCTCACTAATACTACCACTATCGCCCCCTCCAAAATTATCAGTCTTAGGTCACCCAAACTCACTTATTTTTTAAAATAAATCAACCTTAATGGAAGATTATTAGCAGGAATTTCTGTGAATTAAAATAATTTAAAATTTTGAATACTGAAAGGGATAAAAAGAAGATTTAAGATTACTCAGTTACTTTTCATGGCAAATATAGCACATTTAAGCACCTTACTATGAAAATGTCACTACATTTTTTATTAGTGCAAATAGCTCCGTGATTTAGGAAATTTTGGTACATGGGTCAGGCCAGAGTGTCCCAGAAGTCACTCTGAGACTTGCTTGGCAACATACAGAGTAGCACTTGTATATCTTGCTGGAAGGACAAATGCCTGGCCTCTTGCCTTCCCAGCAAGTCCTCATTCACAGCAATTTGAAAGATGACTGAATTCAGAAGTCCCCAAACAGTGTCTATCTGACCCATCGTATGGCTGCAGTCTACTTCAACACTTTCATACATTGTTTATTCCTTTTAGCTTTTCACTAATTCAATAGGACAAAACTTACAGAGCCCAGGTATAAGCTAGTAAAATAAAGGTTAGCCAGATTCTCATATGTGAAATTCATCGGGTGAATTTTAAAAGTTGTTTGTAAATGTAGGGGCAAAGTAGGGAGAGGTGCAGACCTTAAGGAAACTCAGATTGAAAAGCTCCTCATCTAGCACACAGGTCCCCAGGCTTACCCAGGCAGGTCCCTGTAACTAACTGAACCCCAGATCCCCACTGCTGCCCTGGAAACTAAAGATAAGGGAAAGGTAAATGCTCATAACCAAAGAAATGACATTTATCCTCATCACTAGTAAAGGCCCAAATAGATCTTTCTCCTGTCCAAAAGATGCTTTCAATGCTCAAATGTTGTTATATAATATTACCTGCAAAATATAGCCTAAACAAATTCTGGATTTTATATATGATGGATTAAAATGCAACGCTTTCAGAAAGTCCTTCTGTGCTCGATTGGTGGCTTCACCATGACCATATTCCATGTAAGAATTTCCCCGTCCAATGTAAGCATCCAGAAAACACGGGTTAATTTCAATAGCCCAGGTAAAGAATTTGATAGCTTCTTCAAACTCTTTAATTCTGAAAATAAATGAAAATATTGATGCATTCTGATGAACTGATACATTTTAATGACATACAATGTTTTTTTGTATAAGACTTTCCCATAAATATTTGAATATCCCCTTATGAAAAATAATATTTCATTTTTATTTCCATCATAGAAGGGAAGCACACAAGTTCAAATGACCTAAGGAAGCCTGACAGGTTCTTTCAAGATTTTAGTAAAATGAAAGAAAGGAGGTAAGAGTCATTTTCATAGCAGAATGTGATGGAATGATATCCTGGAAGTCTTTTTTCAAATTATAAAAGTCTGAATGGCATGCCTATACCTGTTTTTAATAGTTATCAATTACCAGTATAGAAAATCATGTGCTATTACTGATTTTAGTCTATTTAAATTAGACTAAAATAAATTTACGTATATGTATTTAATATTTTATTATACAATAAAATGAACCAGACTTTCATCACACAGACGTCCTTACTTTAGATCTTCTATTAATATAAAGGTAGCCCATTTCATTGTGGATACCAAGAGAGGAGATGAGAGAAAGAAGCAAAATGCATTTTATTTATTATTAATAACTTGGGAATGTATGCAGATAAATGATAACTCTGTTTCTCTATCCTCCCTAATTACTCTCTTAAGGCAAGGGTGACGGCTGTTGAAGGAATCAAATATTTGTTCATGAGCATATAAAGTCACTTCTCCATTTCATATGAATATCTAATAATTATATTTAGTCTCAATTCACATGGACAGAGTATACAATTTTTTAAAAAATAGAATAAGGGAGGTAAAATTGAGTAACTGCTCACTTACCAGGTACTTTGCAAAATGCTTCACATGTGCTATTTCCTTTAATCCTTCCAAAAACTCTGTAAGCTAGTTATAATTATCCACATTTACAAATGAACAGAAAATCATGGCAGAAAAGTCTTCACATAGGAAATGGTATAGTAAATAGCATACTAAGTTTGCACAGAATAAATGCCTGAGATTCAAACTCAGGTTAGTCAGACACCAAAATCCATGCTTGTCCACACAGCCAACTCTACCACACATTCTGCACCTACCACATCCCTGTGGTTGGTGTGCAAGAGCCAGTAAGCTGGTATCTCAACAGTGTAGTTAGAAGAAAGGCTTGGAGTTCAGATTTGAGCCTTAGTATACAAATTAATACTAATTCTTCAAAGTTTTTAGGACATAACGAGTGATAGGCGCACCATCTGAGGGATGGTCATGCTGGAGACTCAGACTTGTGGGGGGAGGGGGGGAAGGGCATTTATTGAAACTTTAAAATCTGTACCCCCATAATATGCAGAAATAAAAAAAAAAGTTTTTAGGAGGATCAAAGAAGAGCAAGTGAAGAACATCTAGCATAGAGACCCTTACCCAATAAAGATTATCATCTTCCTTCCATTCTTTTCATTACTTCCCAAACAGGCTTCGAAATTTAGTAAGATACATCACCACTTTGCTCATTTTTCCTTTATGAAATACATGGAACCCAGGATAACTGTTCTAGAACAAATCATCTCCTAGATATTAATCAAGAATATCTCTTATAACAGTGTTTCTCAAACTTTAGCCCTTCCTTCACAAGAGTTGAATATTTATCATTTACTGAATATTCACTTGTCAATTCACTTTTTATACTTAACTAAATTTATATTAAAAGATAACCAAATTTCAGTACCATAAATTGAAAAATTATCATCTCATGCTATAAATAGAAGGCAACCCTAAAAATAAATAAAATTGGAGCTGGATAAGGTAGTCTGCAGAAACTGAAACTGAGGGGATGCACCACTGGCTACAAAAACTTAGAAAGTTAATAAAGACTCTTAGTCGAGACTTTCACCTTGATGTGTTCAGAAGGTTTGAGAAACAATTCATTTTGAAACTGAAAAGGGATTCAGTTTCTCACGATGTGATTCAGTAATTTTTTTAATGCTTCTCTACACTATGAAAAATAATTGAGTTACTCATGATACTTGCTCCATGTTTTGGCAAACACTACTCAACAAGCATTCTGCTAGAAGATTACAAAAGAACCAACAGTGAAGCACTAGAAAAGCTTGGTTTCTGATTTTACAGACAGGCAAAGATTAACACGCATGGATATCAACCAGATGTTATCTTCTGAGTTCGTCCTAGATTGTTACCCAGAAGACACAGGGTCACTTCCCTCAGGTAGTTCACAATGAAATAGTATTCCTCTTTCCTGATGATCGGCGCTATTTAAGAAGCAAAAGTTCCTTTGCTTTTCTAAGTGCGCTTCTCACTATATCATAGCAATAATTCTAAACATGGCATAACAGATTCTTTATCTGAAATAATTAACCCATAGTTATTTGGGGTAAATGCACTTAGTTGATAGATTGTGTTGTGCTCAGTATTTTTTTATCTATGAATAGTACAGTATTTACTTATGATGCATACCGATGGTGACCATGTAATCTGAAATTTCCAGGGAAATACCCATTTATTCATATGTTCCCCATAAATCATTGAAATGCTCCCAGCATACTGACATTCATGCTGCATCGTATGCAATATGACATCCATATTGCATTCATATCCCCTCTTACCCAGAGCAATTATTAATACAAATCCTTTGTGAGTACATATTCTGATACATGGCTTCTAAAATACAATCTCTCCCTTTGTACAGCCTAACCAATTAAAACAAAACAAAAACAAGGCAGTGAACTGAAACTCACCACTATGTGGTATAAGTTGTGAATTACCAAAAGGCAGTGATTGAAGCTATTTTTCTTTACTGATCAGCACTAAGATTTAATGAGCATCTAATCTGTTCAGTCTAAGTAGATAATCATTAAACCTTTAAAGCTGGAAAGAGATCTTGAAAGCCACCTAGCAAGTTCCTCAAAGCTGACGGTGAGTAAAATTGAGTCCAGAGAAGGTAAAAGTGCTGAAGACAGAGACTTCCTAGCTTCCTGCACCAAAGATCGGAGAAAAGATGAAACAGATCCCACTGTGGAAACACCAACTACATTTCTCTGAAAATGTGTCTATCACAGGTCCTACAGATTGAAGCGCTTATTAAGTAACAACATGGCAGTTAACCAACGGAAAAATGTGGCAGAATATGTTATGTCAGGATACCTATTCGTTGAGATGTAAATGGTTAAGCATTGTTTACCACAAACATAAAAGTATATCAAATGAGTTTTTCTAAAATAAAACTTGTTTGTGCAAATCTATAGTAATGGGGTCACTCATTGAAGGTGCATGATTCTCCTTACAGTGTCCTATCAATCAGGTATCACGTGCTGAGCTTGGCCACTAGGCCGTGGACACAACGGCCCACTGCATCTTCCAAATCAATCACCTACATGACCAGATATGCCCTACTGAGTTGTACAAATAAATCACAAATCCCTCCCCAAACTAAATAACCTGGCTTGCAGAGTTAAAGATTCAAGAATATTTTATGCAAATATAAGAATAGTAAAATAAAATGTGATAAAGTAAAAAAGTGGAGAGGATAAATATCTGAGTAATCTCCCTCTACAATGCTATTTTTTAAAATATTAAGGTGGCTTCCTCAAAGAGCTCTAAAAATTAACTCTACCATAACACTCTTGGTGACTAAATTGGGCAACAAGTAGGATATTCAAGCCTAAGGAATGTTGTCTCCTAGCAACCACAAGAGTGAGAACCAGAGATATACAAAGGATACTTCAAAAGTCTGCAAGACCATGAGATCAAAGAGCAAAGGCCTAAAATTTTAAAATTTATTCCTCTTTAAAACTTTTCCAAATGAGAAAATTTTTACTTTTCCCGCTATAAAACACTAAAAGTGAATCCCCATAGTTAGAAACCATACAGCTATCATATAAGTGTGTATTATTAGCTCACCTTGAAAAGCAAAAATATTTTTTCCTGAAATAAATATAAGCAATCACTAAACCTTCTTTATTGTTACATTCAGTAAAACTGTTAAAACTCAGAACACATGGAATTGGGACTCTGAGTTTTCAGGGCTTTACTGAGTTGATTTAAATTCTACTTTTATTAAAGGACAATAGAGATTCTAGTCAGGTGATGAAAGCTGGTTATTTGGAATTGCAAAGCAGTTTCAGCTTAAGGAGGCTCTGCCATATACCCCCAGTGATTACATTTCATAAAAGAGACTGTGAACTGACACACAGAGAAATTTACTGACTATAATGGTTGCTAAACATAGGAATGAGGTTCAGAGAAATTCTGGAGTCTGCTTTTAGTTTTGGCAGAATGCAATGACCTTAGACACTTTTGGTCTGCACCCGCCCACCAAAACAAACACATCAGTCATCATTATTCCATCTCTTCTTAAGAATGACAATTACTCAAAGAAATGGATTGTACGAAGGTGCTGGATTAAAATAGACAATGGCATGACCATGTTTTGCTGTCTATATAAAGTGAAAGGTCTGAGACTGGTTTAGGCCTTTTAACACAAAGGCATCTTCAGAAGTTCCAGTATAGTACACTTTGTTCATGAGCTAAAACATCTAAATCTCATGGGGAAATATAGCTGTACTATCTATGTCCTAAAAGGGGAAAAAAGAATGTCAATTTCCTAAATAATTCAAACTATGTTCTATTTGCTAAACTGCCTAGTCTACATAATTTGCCAATATTCTCATTTCATCCTTCAAATTAACTGCCATTGTTTCTTTCATTTAAAAAATGCTATAAACTATTACTTTTCAAATACATTTTATCCTATATGCTAAATCTCTATGATTTTAAAAGCAAAATGACCAAAAACTAATTTTCAAATGTGAAATGTATACATAGAAATGTAAACATTATGGTTAGCCAAGTCTGTATACTATAATACTATCTCAGAGTGTATTTTAAACTGATCCTCTTCTGTATTTTAGCTTATATGAGAGTTTTTTCTCTCCTTCTATAGCTTATTTTTATTACAATCCTAGAATAAGTAATAATGCTTTAAGCACTGTCATTTTTTTGTAGACTTTATTGTGTTCTGTAGATATTCACTGGTATTGTTTTACACAATTTTAGATTTACAATTATTTTTCTTAAATGAAAAATTTTCTTGAAAACATATAATTTTTTGAAATCACTCTCTCTCTTCCAACAAAGAGGCATTGTAAAAGTTGGTCCTACATATTACGAACAAAATAAATCATTTTATGCTTACATACTGTAAACTATGCATAACTTTATTCTATATATTACCAAGATCCTTCCCAGTGTCTAGGCTTGGATCAGATCGATGCCCTCTCACGCAGTGATGCAGGCATTTACTTGCTAATCTTGCTAAAACAATTCATTAGAACGCAGAGGGGTGCTCATGACACGCTAAGTGTGGTCCCCATGTCTAACCAGGGAATTCTTTGTGTCCCGCCCACTTTTGCACACTGTCACATTCACAAATTTTCCCCAATTTCTTCCGTTCCCTCTGGCTTACTTTTAGAGCTATAATTACATAAACCTGATGCCTCCCCTTTGACACCAGTTGCACTCCGTACCTGTGATGGCACACGGCGACAGCTTGACAAAGGTTCACGTTAGTCTGGCTTACCAGTGCAGCTTGTTTAAAATCCTGAAATAATTATTCGAGTTTTTTGTTAATTTTGCAACATTACTTCATGCACTTTCTTAAAATTCCTTCTAACTTCAACTCCACCATGAATAGACATAACACAAGCATCAAAATAAACACCTTCCTACAACTTTATTTCTTCTTTATAATATCACATTGAGTAAGAATGGCTGAGGCAAAGGAAACCCATTATTGTAAACTCACTCAGAATCTTGTGTTACTCATCTCCACTTCAAGAATAGGGACTCTACCTGTGGTTTTTGCCCTTCTATGTGTAGTAAGCTATCTCATTTACTTTCTTTTTACTGTTTATACCCAGTGAACACTGCCAAAGACTTCTCTGTTTAGATGTAAAAGGAAATGCACCTGGAGAGAACCTTGGGAGTTACGTGACTACACCACAAACAGGCACCCAGGGAAGGGGAAGGACACACTAGGCCTACTGTGTAGAGTGGCCAAGGCTGCTCCTACCTCTGGAGTCCACACTCCTGCTGAAAAGGCATCCAGTGATCCATAAGGCCTCCTGAGAGGGGGAAATGGAAACTCTAACCCCAAGATTTGAAGTTAGGGAAGTCGGCTGGGAAGGATCTGAATGGCCCTGCGAAAGAGGCTGTTTAGAAGAATTAAAAGTGCTAAGTCTGTAAGAGATCCTGCAGCAGTGGCTCAGAGCACTCTCCTATATTAGACACCAGACACAGTGCCTGAAGTGTATAGCTTTTCAACATCCTACAAAAATATTTGAGGCTTGAGACAAAATAAGAACATCACTAAACTTAAATTAATAAAATATTTAAATAAATATCTATAAAACAAAATATCATGTCAACTGCAATGTGCTATATAGACATGAGATGTAAATTGATTTTAAGGATTGCTATAATGTGAAAAGAGGCCTTCTAAAAGTAAGAGTCTAGAACCTATGACAGAATAAAATGGGATGGCCCTACTTTTTCCCAGAGGACTTGTTTCAACGGGAATCTTCGTGGGCAGTTTTGTCTCTGGTCTCACGTGATGGAGCTAAGCAATGGGGAGGGCCATACTCTCCCCTGCACTGGCAAAAGGAAATCTCTCCAGGCTTCCTTCCGGAAGGCCAGATACCAGCACTTCAGGGCCCCATGAGGCACCACCCAAGGAGAGAGGCTCTAACCATAACCGTCCTCTCCTCTTCCTTCCTCCTTCCACAAGAGCCCTCCCTGGTGTATCAGAGGGAAGGGGCCGGCTGTCTTAGTGAGGTGGGATGGGTTTTTGGCTGCTACAAGGGTGGAAGGAGTCGTGGGGTCAGGCTGAGTACTCCAGGGTCCTGCTGGAGGAGGAGCCATTTGTCACAGACCAACCTGTGAGTGTGGGCTCTCCTCTCAGATTCGAGAAGCATGTTTTGATACTAAATGAAACTATTTGCAAGAAAATAGAAATATTGTCTAATCAAATAACATCTAATGAACTGTGCTTCCAGATATCACTCCAGGAGGGATTTTTTTTTTTTTGCTAAAAAGGAGGCAAATTTACAAGTGTGAGATTTACTACAAACATTCCCATTAATTTAGGAAGTTTCAGGGAATGATCATATAATTTAGAAGGCTGAGAACCCCAAATTTAGTTTTGTAGTCGGTTGAAATTTATAAAAGTCAACTTGACTCTATATACATAATCATTATAATACTATGTGGGAATTAGGCATTAATTATCAGCAATAGACATAAATGATGACTTTTAGCATTACTTAGAATAAAGCTAGCCACTGTTTTTGTGACTTTTCCCTTCTGCATTAACTCTCTCTCTAATATGAGGATGATAATAATAAACCACACAAAGTCACTCATGCTCAGTGCAAATTTCCTCTACTCCCATCTACTCCCTGATGACCTTCACGCCCAGAATCTTCCTTTCTGTGTCAGAGGGGGGCTCTTGGCCTCACTCCTTCCCATCTCCTCTGGAACCTTGCTCTATCATATATCTGCTGCCCTCTGTATCTTTAACCCTTGTCTCACTGCCCCAGCCTACCACACCTCGCCTGACCCCCATGTGCCCTGAAAACGAGTGGCCACGTCTGTCTCATTCCTGTCACTACCAGTCTCATCGAGAGCATACAAGGGGCTCCACACCCGCAACTGTCATCCACTAAACTATTCTTGTTAAGAAGACTGATTTTATTTGTACTTTGTAAACTGGCTCTAAAGACATTTTTATTTATTTGCTTTTAACCTTATCAAAGTAATCCACATATATAGTATATAGGGACTGATAGAGTCCAGTGATCCTGTTCCACCTCTCCTTACCCCTGAGCCCCACTCCCCAAGGGCAATCCTTTTCACAGCTTGCTTTTATTTCTTCTGCTATTTAGCTTCAGATTTCTAAATAACATGAACATTGTATCATATTTAACTTTATGGTAGAACCATTCACTTCCTGCATGGAATGGAATTTAGTTGTTTCACAGCAGCACTCCACACACTGACCCTTCTCCCATCAGCCCTACACACCTATGACCCCTTGTTTGTTTTAGTCTCTATTTTACTTCCCTTAGGTGTCTGATGCTTGGCTACCCATTCATATTTAACTTTGAGGGATTAAAATACAGAATGGTAGTTTGGTACACCTGAATCTCTCTTCACTGTTATCTTTAAACTTTCGGAATTATATCTTTTTTATTCCTTTGCAATTATCATGCTAGAATTTCAAGAGGGAAAAGAGATAATCAAATGTCCACGATTTATTAACTTCGAGTTAATTTAACCATTCACTTCTCAAACAATCCAAGTCTAGATGCTTCCTGATCAAGGTGCTCCTATGAAAGGCATATGGCTCTCAGTTCACTGCTACATTTTCAGCACTCATGCTACTCGACCTCTCAGTTCATCAATCCTTCCCACTAAATTTTTTCCCCTAGGTATATTTTCGGACTCTGCTTTCTCTGAGTTTTTCATCCTGATCTCTACTGATTCAGTCTTATATCCATTGCTTCTTCCTCCACCTATTTCTTTTTTATTTAATTTTTAATTAATTTTTTTATTTTATTGTACATGGAGAAAATTTTTGCTTTTAATTTGTGTTTGTGTGGTATATCTTTTTCTAGCCTTTTATTTTCACCTATCTGTATTATTATATTTAAAGTGTGTTTCTTGTAGCCAAAATATAGTTGGAACTTTTTAAAACTTACAATCTGGCATTCTCATTATTTTAATTGTTGTATTTTGACCATTTCCATTTCCTGTAACCACTAATGTGATTGGATTTAGGTCTACTATTCTTTCTTTTCTGCTGGCCTCCTTTGTTTCCCCTTTCCAGACTTATTTTTTATTCTTTTAATATTCCATTTTAGTTTATCTTCTTTCTTTCTGACTAGAAGAGGTCACATTGGAGCAAAAACCTAAATGAAACCTAAATGGGCATGAACCATTCACAGATCAGTAGGAAGAAGGTTATATGCATAGGGAATAGCTTGTGTAAATGCAGGAAGAGAGCCTGGCATTTCCAAGGCAGAGCAAAATGCCAGCATGAGGTGGCTAGAGTAGAGAAAACAATGTTTGACAATGAGTTTGGAGACGTGAGCAGCAGTCACTCAAGTACAGTCTTGGTTGGTCATAGTCAAGAGTTGAGATTTTATTCTAAGGGTGATGGGAAGCCATTGGAGGGTTTTGAGCAGAGGAATAACTCGATCTGCTTTATATTGTTAAGTGAGTTCCCTGGCATCTATTTGGAGAACAGCACATAGAGGGGCAAGAGGGCCCAGTTGGAAAACTCCTGCAGGAATCTAGAGAAATGATTCAGTTCTGACACCTGAGTTCAGATCTTGCCCCAGTACTTAATGGTTGAAAGGAGGATAGCAGTGGCAATTATTAGAAATGATTTAATTCAAAGTATGCTTTAGTGGTAGAGCTGACTAGACTTGCAAATGGGTTAGATGTGGGGTATGAAGAAAGAGAGGGGTCAAATTTTTACTAGACCATCAGCTCCTCAAGGACTGGAGCTCTGTCTTTGTGATCTCCACATACCAATGCCAATGACTTATCTGCAAGAACATAGAATTTGGAATCAAGTGAGACCTGAGTTCAAATCTTACTCAAGTACTTATTGGTTCAAAGGCCTGATTTAACTTTTTTGAATACCAGTTTCCTTATCTATAAGTTAAATTTTAAATTGTCCAGCATTGTCGAGAACCTGGTATGTAACAACTGTGCAATAGAATTAATGCAGTTGTTTAGTACTAAACAAACATTCGGTAGATAACATAGGCCCTCCATTTAATTCTCCAATAGCCTGGGCCCTTTGTTCCCACCCCCATTTTACTCACTCTCTCCACCCCAACACTGTTGCCCAGATTTTCATAGTTCTCTTGCCCATGACAGAGAGGTTCTTTACCTCTCTTGACCTGAAGGGATACATAAGGGCATGTCACAAAGATATTTTTGATGTATCAAAAGCCTAAAGGAGTTCAAATGTTGAGATTACATTTCATGGTGTAAATTGCCTAGAAAGTGATTCTGTGGGGGCAGAATCTCAAAAGATGACTCCAGAAGCAGAAAAATAATACAAGCCATCTTGAGAAATGAAGAGAATAGGAAACACTCTACTACATAATGTTACATTGTAGTGCATCAGAAATGAAGAAGCAAAACTGCTGTTAATTAATGGCAAACCTCAAATTGATATTTAATTTTTGCCTTGTATTTCTTTGCGTTGTTTGTTTTTGTTTTGCTTTCTTTTGTGTTTTGTTTTTTTTGTTTTGTTTTGGGGCAGGCTGGAGTACAGTGGCATGATCAAAGCTCACTGTCCTGGGTTCAAGCAATCCTCCTGCCTCAGCCTCCCGAGTAGCTAGGACTACAAACGTGCACCCCCACACCAAGTTAATGCTTTGTGTTTCTTAATCTCAATTCCAAAGTTATTGTAAAATGGACAATAAAAATAAAAAGTTAAAAATGAGAGTGATGAATTTTAATTATGCTATAATGAAATATATTTTAAATCACCTGTTTCTTTTCAATTACATGTACCTTCTTCTATTAAATATTATGATTCTGCATACCTGTTTTCACTAATTTAAAAGTCCATTCCCAGTAGCCCATCTTAAGCAACTATATCCTGCCCTGCTTGAAAAAGATTTCGATATATTTTCAATGGGAAGAGAGAAGAAATGTGAATGAGAAACAGCACAGAACTGCAGGTTAAACTATACATAAATTGTTTTATTTTATAATAGTTGAGTTATGTGTATACTACCTTAGGGGAGATGATAGTCTTAATCAAATTAGAATTTTTTTATATATTGGCTCTTTATCTGTAATTAAAACAAAGTAAAAATACATACTTTTTGCAAAAGATTCTATTAGTCATTCCAAGTGTTTCAATACAATTCTTGCTAAATTGAGTTATCACTCATTAATATTGCCAGTTGATAGTAGTGAGAACTTGTTCACTAGTTTTCAGGCGTAAATGTGCAGAATCAAGTGGGTTCACTCTTACATATCAACAGGAATGCTTACCTCTAATGCAAAACCATACTGCTCTAGTTCTGAGTAGATGAGTCCACGATTGATGAAGGTGTTTAATGTTATAGTTTCTCCAGCATCAAGAAGCAGCACAATTCCATAATCTATTAATGCCTAAAAATAAAATAAGTACTTGCAATGCAGATTGAACTTTTTAGAGCCTTACTTCATAGGCTATAGACAAAGGTGTTTGTGTCCAAACTAGGATTCAATAGTTAGTTCTTTAATTTGTCTTATAATATATGGCCAAAATAATCAGATGTTAGATTTGAAGGGCCCCTTTAGCTAAAATTGTGAATAATGCTGCTTTTTAATAAGTGGAACACACTGTGCTTGCACTTCACATGTTATCTGTAAGTCATCCAATGCTTACTCATTTGTGTATGGGTTACAAGAGAAGGATTCAATACTCTTCCCCCACTCAGTAGTTTCATTGAATAACTGTTGACATGATTACCATTTAACATTTAATTTCTTTTTAGTGCTTTATTGTTTTCCTGACTGAGATCTAAGCTCTATGAGGGCACAGCTTGTCCATTTTGTTCACCATTTAAGCCCAGTAACAAGCATCATGCCTGCACAAAATAGGCATTTGAGAAATTTTTATCAAATGAATAAATCATGAATCAATGAAAATGAATCTTAATAAAACTAGCAAATAAGCACTTGTAAGAAAATTACTTTAAATATTTTGATAGATATATTCATTGTTTTAAAGACAGTAATCTGAGCTAAAAATTAATCAACTTAGAAGACCTTTCTCCATTTCTTTTACCTTTTTTTCTATTCAATGAATAAACAGGATTTTACTGGTCTCTACTCTGCATCAGGCACTAGAAGAATCTTAAATTTAGGTTGGAGCTGAATCTCTTAACTCATTTTCCTACTGAACATTTTGTTCAGAAGAGCCATATGGCTTGATCAGAAAAGGGCCAAATCTTATATGCCTGCAGCACCTGCTAACTGAAAATGACAGATAGTTATTTGCTCATTTGCCCTCTTCTACTGTTTCCTGATTTGATACTCAAGTGTCTAAAAAAAATGTGCAATTAAAGATCCTATATGTATACTGTGGCATAATTTTAAGTAAACATTGCCAAGGCTGTAAAAAGTAAATTAGTAATAGTTGTAAAAAATAAAATAAAGAAAACCTAGACTGTTAGCCACAATTGTCTAATTTTGCCTTTACTCAGAATGTAAAACCTGTATGATGCCTTAGAGACCCATAAGCAGCTGAATATGTAACACCTAAGGAAAGCAAAGCTAGGAAATAAGATTTCATGAAGGTCAGTGAGGGTAGGAGCAGGATGGGAGCAAAGAGGTTTGATTAAGGTGAGTCACGGCCTTGGCCTATTTTGGGTTTGTATCATGACTCTACTATTATTAATAATATTAGCTTCTCAGTCTTAGGAAAGTTACTTAACACTAAGCCTCAGTTTCCTTATCAGCAAAACTGGGAAATTAAAAACTCATCATATTGTAAGGATCCACTTAAAAATATTTTGATTGTATGTTGGTAAAGGATTTAACCCAGTGGCACACAAGGAGCCCATTTAAATAAATGGTAACTATTAACTATTTTTATTAACATAGAGTGCTAGAACCAGATTTCACCTTTGCTCAGTTTTTTGAAACCATATCTTGGGAGAATGCCTAAGTGCATGTTCTGCAGAAAGATACTTGGTTTTTCTCAGCCTAGGGATGGCAGGAATGCTGAGAAACAGGTGGAGTTAGACAACAAGGGAAGAGGTGGCAGTGTTTAATGACACCCAGTCCATATGCTGGAGGTCAGATGGTTTTACAAAGCCTCCTGAAGACTGTTAACCCAGAAGCAAACAAATCTGTGGACACCAATACAGGTCTCTAACTCCCTGTGTGACTTGGATGGGTTTTATAACCTCTCCCTACTTCCATTTCCTTATCTGTAAAACAGATTGGATGAAATGCTTTGGGGTCCTGGCAGCTCTAAAATCACCAATATTTTATTACTCTGATTCTGTCTCACTTTATTTAGATAGTTTTGCAGTTTCTTTATTTATAGGGCATTGGCCTTTTTTACATATCTGAGATAACAAAAAATGGGAGTTCTCTCCCACCCAGCCCATTGTTTCCCCACCTTCTGGCAGGAAAGAGGGTTGGGAGGGAGTCCTCAAAGACACCTGCTGTGCAGGTCACTCTGATAAATGATCCTTTAATTAGCTCCTAGAATCTTAACAATTCCCTTGTTAAAAATTAGTTATTCATTTGTCAACATTTCTGGAGGAAACCTGATAGTCTAGTTACCAGGAATTTTACATCCTTTTAAGTGGAAACAATGTTTCTCAACGTCTTACCTTCCAAAGCTTGTAGATTGCTAAATTTCAGAATGTTTTAAACAGGTTTAACTGTCCAGGTTTTACAGAGATTGGGAGTGTGTCCACATAGAATAGTGGGAACATTATGTGGCCTTTTAAAGGAATGCTGCATCTATTAGAGGGCAGACATAACAACAGGGAGACAAATGGGTAACAGAGAAAAAGAAGCAAGAGGATGGGATACAATACTGAGAGACTCTGACCACCTGCTCCCCTGTGAAGAGTCCTCACTGAAAAGGGACCACACAGACAAGGGGAGGGAGGAGAGGATAAGATTGGAAAAACTAGAGTTTGCACAGGTAGATGCTGGATCAAGATAAATTAAGAAGGTTTGCTGCAGCCACAGTTAGACCCTCAAAATACTCAGGCAAATTCTGGTCACTCGTCCTTGAAGCTGGAAACTATCACTACAAATTCCTGCTGCATGTGTGGTCTGAGGACCAAACAAAAAAAATATCTACATGCCATACTGCCCAAAGCAATCTACAGATTCAATGCAATCCCCATCAAAATACCAATGACATCCTTCACAGAAAGAGAAAAAGTAATCCTAAAATTTATATGGAACCACAGAAGATCCGAAATGGTCAAAGCCATTCAGATCAAAAGAATGAAACTGGAGGAATCACATTACATGACTTCAAATTATATTACAGAGCTGTAGTAACCAACACAGCATAACATTGGCATAAAAACAGACACATAGATCAATGAAACAGAGTAGAGAATCCAGAAATAAATCCACACATCTATAGCAAACTTATCTTCAACAAAGTTGCCAAGAACAAACAGTGGGAAAAGAACAGTTTCTTCAATAAATGGTGCTGAGAAAAGTGGATATCCATGTGCATAAGAATGAAACCAGACCCTTATCTCTTGCCATATACAAAAATCAAATAAAAATGGATTAAACTCCTAAATATAAGACCTTTGTCTTATATTAAAGTTTGTCTTAAACTTTGCGACTACTAACAGAAAACATTGGGGAAATGCTTCAGAACTTTGGTCTGGGCAAGGACTTCTTGAGTAATACCCCCAAAGCACAGGTAACCAAAGCAAAATTGGACAAATAGGATCACATCAAGCTAAAAAGCTTCTACACAGCAAAGGAAAAAATCAACAGAGTGAAAAGACAACCCAAAGAATGAGAGAAAATATTTGCCCATCTAACAACGGATTAATAACTAGAATATATAAGGAGCTCTAACAACTCAATAAGGAAAAAATCAAATAATCTGATTTAAAAGTGGGCAAAAGATCTACAAGAAGACATACAAATGGCCAACAGATATGTGAATAAATGCTCAACATCATTATTCCCCAGAGAAATGCAAATCAAAGCTACAATAAGATATCATCTCACCCCAGTTAAAATAGCTTTCATCAAAAAAGACGAGCAATAACAAATGCTGGCAAGGATGTTGGGCAAGGAGAAAGGGAAACACACGCACTATTGGCAGGAATATAAATTAGTGTAACTACTATGGAGAACAGTATGGAGGTTCCTAGACTGAAAATAAAACTGCCATAAAAATAAAACTGCCATATGACCTAGCAGTCCCATTTTTGGATATAATATATATCCAAAGGCAGGGAATTCAGTGTACTGAAACAAATTCTGCACTCCCACGTTTATTGCAGCACTATTCACAATAGCCAAGATTTGGAATCAACCTAAGTGTTCATCAATAAATGAAAGGATAAAGAAATTGTGATACATAATGGAGTATTATATAGCCACAAAAAATGAAATCCTGTCATTTGCAATGACATGGATAGAGCTGGAGAACTTTATGTTATGTGAAATAAGCCAAGCACAGAAAGATGAAGCTCATGTTCTCACTCATATGTGGGAGCTAAATATTAAAAACAACGGCTCTCGGCCGGGCACGGTGGCTCACACCTGTAATCCTAGCTCTCTGGGAGGCCGAGGCGGGTGGATCGTTTGAGCTTAGGAGTTCGAAACCAACCTGAGCAAGAACGAGACCTCGTCTCTACTATAAATAGAAAGAAATTAATTTGGCCAACTAATATATATAGAAAAAATTAGCCGAGCATGGTGGCACATGCCTGTAGTCTCAGCTACTCGGGAGGCTGAGGCAGCAGGATTGCTTGAGCCCAGGAGATTGAGGTTGCTGTGAGCTAGGCTGACACCACAGCACTCACTCCAGCATGGGCAACAGAGTGAGACTCTGTCTCAAAAAAAAAAAAAAAAAAAAAAACAACTGCTCTCATGGAGACAAAGAGTAGAATGACAGTTACCAGAAGTTGGGAAGGGTAGCAGGGAGGAGGAGATTAAATGGGATTTGTTAATGGATGCAAAAAATATAGTTAGATAGAATGAAAAATATTTGATAGCACAACAAAGTGACTATAATCAACAATAAATTAGGTTATACTTTAAAATAACTACAAGAATGGAAGTGGAATGTTCCTAACACAAAAAATGATAAATGCCTGAGGTGATGGATATCCCAATTACCCTGATTTGACTGATTCACATTGTATGCCTATATCAAAACATCATATGTATCCTATCAAGATACACAACTATTATGTACCCATATTAATTAAAAATAAAAACTTTTTTAAAACTCTACATGAACTACTCTAGCTAATGTTGAAATTTTGAAGCAACAATATTGATAGTGATCACTGCTTTAAAATTCTGTACATGGCCAGGCACAGTGGCTCACGCTTATAATCCTAGCACTTTGGAGGCTGAGGCGGGAGGATCACTTGAGGCCAGGAATGTGACCCAGCCTGAGCAACATGGGAAGACACCTGTGAGGCAAAAAAAAAAACTGACAAATTAGCCAGACATGGTGGCATGTGCCTGTAGTCACAGCTACCTGGAAAGCTGAGGCAAGAGGATCACTTGAGCCCAGGAGTTTGAGGTTGCAGGGAGCTATGATGACGTCACTGAACTCCAGCCTGGGCAACAGAGCGAGACCTTGTCTGCAACATTTGGGGGATGGATACGCTTGAAGCTCTTACCTGAGGGGGAGGGGGGCATGGGCAATATATGTAACCTTAATACTTGTACCCCCATAATATGCTAAAATAAAAAATTTCTGCATGCAGTGTATCAGTAGAAACATTTACTCAAAAGATAATTATGCAACGTATTTTAATTTATACATGCATTTAAATGCTTATATAAACATTATAAAATTAAATTTTCATTTGACTTATTATAAAAATTGTATAAGAAATGTTGATGAGCACTAACAAAGAAATTAACTATTTTTCTAGATGGTTCTTTAGTTTCTCAAGTTTTGTGTGTGCGTATTTCCATAGGAATTACTTTCCAAAATTATAGCAGAAGTAATACTCTACAAATGCTTTAACCATTTGTACAAATGCTTTAATGTGTTATTTATTAAATGTTATTCATTGATTGCATGTTGAATTCAGCAAGCTATCGAATACATGTTATATATTAAATGCTTCGAATATGTTGTTTACTGAAACAGTCATCTTACCATTTGAAATTCTTTTATCTTGGTGTAACATAATGCTCTGTTATAAAATGCTACATAACATTTTTTGTTCATGTTGATAGCTGTAGTTAAATCTGTAATTGCTAGCTTATAAGTCTATAAAACAAAAAATAATTAGGTGAGAAGGGTGAATCATAAATTACCAAAATTTAATTGTAAAATAAATTCTTGATTCTATCAGAGGTTTTGAAACACTCATTTAACCATTCTGCATTTCATCTGTGAAATTAAGACATTTAAGCTAATCTTTCACAGAGTTCATTAAAAAGATCTTCTGGTAGGAATTATTGTTATAGTTTCTCTTACCTGTAAATAAAATTAAATATATTAACAACTTTTATTTAGATAATCGACTTATTCAAAATTTTGCTATATGGCAAAGAGAAAATCATACTTATATATAAAAAAAAAACCCAATCAATATTCATCCAGCAAACATCCACCAAAGATTGCTTGCTTCTGTCACTCAGACTGTCATATCACATAATCGTCATGTTTTCCACCCACATTCTCTTTTGCTTCCTCTTTGATTCTTCTCTGATACCTTATATCATCCATTTCTATAGATAGTAATTTTCATGGAATTAACACATAATGCAAGGTCTTACCTTTGCTTTAAGGTATTATTTGCAAAATATTTCATATGAAATAGCTACAAAGAAAGGTCAGAAAAGAAAAGTATGGAGAAACAAAGTATTCCATGCAGTCTAAAATATCAACAGGGTTGCTCGCACTTTTTAACCCAGTAATTTCTGTTTAAGAACCAATCACAAACTTAGCAACAATTTTGCTCTTAGTTGTGTAAAACTGCAATATTTTAAATAGTAAAAAAATAATTATAACAACCCAAATTTTCAACAATAAAGTGATTAAAAATAAATTATAGTGGAATATTATGTAGTCAGAAAAATTGTATCTTCAAAGATTAAGTGTAAAAAGCAGGGTACAAGTTATACATGTAGTATAATCTCAATTTTAGAAAATATATATTATATATTATCAGGAAGATAAAACAGTGAATACAAATACACCAAAATGTACTCAGGAATTATCATTGATGGTAGGGGCAATAATTTTTTATTCTCTTCTATATTTTCCAAATTGTCTACAATGAATATATACTACTGCCTTAATAATAATGTATTATTTAAAACAAATGCCAAAAATAAATATCATTATTTTGTGAGAAATTATTAGTTAAATTCCTTTTGATGCCAGGAAAGTGCAAAGGACTCTAAAATAGTTTGGCCCCTGACACCACAGGGATTCCCCCACCATAGAGAAAGAAAGGAAGCAAGTCCCCACTTGGCATCAGAGAATCGTCCACTCTAAAATTTCAGTAAACCAGGCAGGAAATGGCCTTACCCTGTTGTAGTATTTCAGAACTCCTCTGTACAGATAGCCACGCACACTCCCAGGATAAATTTTGATAGCTTCATTACAATTCAAGATTGCTTTGGAGTATCTGCCTTTTAAACCATAGAAGGCTGCTCGGCTTAAATATGCCTATTCAGAGAAAGAAGGAAAGCAGAAATGAATGCATTAGTAAAAGCATCAATTCTACAAAAATATACAGTACTTTGAACAAAATATGATATTAAAGTATAGTCTTTTTTTTCACTCTAAAGGAGAGTGAAAATTTTTAGAAAAAATTTCAAACATACAGAATAATTAAAATAACAGTACAGTGAACACCTGGATTGAATGAATACCTGGATTCAATAACTATCAACATTTTGTCATATTTGTCTATTTTCCTTTGAACTATTTGAAAATAAGTCATAGACATCATAATATTTCACCCCATATACTCCAGTATGCATCACCTATAAAAAAAAGACATTCTCCTACATAATTATAACCATTATATATCTAAGAAAACTAACAATAAAATTATTTAATCTAAACTAAAATTATCTAATATTTAGTCCATATTGAAATTTCATAGACTTTTAAAATCAGGATCCAATAAAGCTTTACCTATTGAATTTTGTGCTGTCTCTTTAGTCTAAAGGCAGAAATCAATGTAATAGCAAAACAAAAAATAGAATTAATATATAAAATTAACATTATTTATAGCTATATTAACATACTAACAGTATTTACATACATCACAATTCACAAATACTTTTATATACATAATATCACTGATGGAAACAATACTTTTTGTTCAAGGGGAAGTACAGATATCTGGATTATCAAAATATAGTTAGTTGAAAAGCAGGTATAAGTAACAGTTGTTCATTAATAATGATAGCATATAAAGGATTTAATAGTTTTACCAAAATTAACACACTCTCCAAATCACTAAAATCATTTATTTAAATACTAAAATCATTTATTTAAATATTTATTTAAATACCTGGTAATGTCTTGGATCAAGGGTAATTGCACGATTAAAATCCAAGATTGAGTTATCCTTGGAGAGTTTTACTTTACAAAGTCCTCGTTGGTAAAAGACTTCTGCAAAATCAGGATTTGCTTTGACAGCTTTTGTAAAAGAATCAAAAGCCTAGAGGAGCATATTGTCAAGATATGCAAACCATTTAGTGACAGACTATATTATTTAAAATGTTAACAATTATAACAAATGTTGAAAGTTTCACTCTATTTTTTGGTAAGTTTAAATACATTTCTCCCAATGAATCTTGTGAATCAAACAAAAATACTATTTAGGAACAAATAACATTAAATACTAAAAATAATAAACAATAAATAATAAAAGGTTTATTATTATAATTAAAGGCCTCATTCCCAGACTAATATCTACATAACTCACATTTTTAGATTATAATATTTTGGGGATATAATTTTAATCATTATTTTTCATATTTTATAAGAAATCACAACCAACACATTTATTTTCCATGAAAATTGAATAACTGTAGCAGATACGTAGTTATGAAATTTCAGAACAATAGAACTCTAAAATTTTTCCCAACACTGTAAAGCAAAGCCAAGTTTGCTCTGGTTGTTCAAAAGGACTAAAAACTTGTAAAAGATTTGTAATTCATCTTACATTTATTGGCATTTCTTAATGGAACAACTAATCAAGTGCAGCTGTTTTTGTATGGTATGGAAATACAAGTTTAAGGTATTTTTCACTTCATGGATATGAAAATTAGAATAATGTGTGTGTGTCCTGTATGTGTGTGTATGGTATGTGTGTGTGTGTGTGTGTGTGTGTGTGTGTGTATAGACAAGGAGTTGTGCAATATCCAATATTAGCCATTAGATAGTAACAAGTATTGTACATATTTATCAGAACAGTGACAATGTGGAAGTGAGAAATTGTGTAAAATAGCCAGACTGGATAAACATATATTAATTGAATCAACTATTTTTCAGTGAATCAAGCCATCTTAACAACCAGTTTCAATGTGATTTGAATTGTTCAATTATCAGTAATAGAAGCCAGAGTGTCCTAATTATTTTCCATTGATTCTACATTACACTTGCAATTGAATAGGTAAATTTATATTAATATGATGAAATTATTTTGCTATAGTAATTTCCTTCAGTTAGATGTATTATTTTGGTGGGAAACACACATTAGTCTTTAGAATATTGTTGACAAACAAGCATCAAATAAAATGAATTGATTAAATAAAATAATGTCATAGGTATTGCAGAGTACAGACTGATTGTAATAAGCCAAGTTTTGTAAGCTTTGGATTAGTCACTCACTGTATAGGTAGCCTTCAGAAATAGAACTGAACACAAGCAATCCGTTTTTAAAATTACAAATAACCCATGCTCCTAAATACACAAAATACCAATTGTAAGTTGCCTTCCTCCATGTAACAAAGACCCAGGTTATACAGACAGTCTGCTGAAATAGCTGTGGCACTTGGGCCTTTATCAGAATAAGAAAAGATATCCAAAGTCTTCTTAAATATTTTCACAGCTTCCTATAAAGAAAAAGGAGGTGAGAGGAGAATGTTTCTTTCCAATGTTTATTTAACATTACAGCCTTAAATGTTAAAAGGAATGCAGAGCACACACCTCTACTCTCATTTCACCCAGGGACACACAGGCCTGGTAAAGCCACAGATCTTGTTAGTACAAACGCAGAAAAGGACCCAGATTGGGAGTCTGATCACCCCGTGTCCCCCCAGGTGCCTATCCTATAAACCAGTCATAAGTAGGCTTACACACATGGATTTTTGGAGGCTATTTTCTTGTAGTCATAAGTCAGACTTAAACTTATGAACTAATTTATTGCGAATCTCCTAAGAATTTTCCTGAATGGAATATTGGGAAGCCACCTAGGTAGTAAAAGATCTCCACAGATAATACCGATTCAACTTTAATCTGTCTTCATTTTCTCCAGTTGTGCTCCTAATGGGGTTCCATTGGCACCAGAAAATAAATCACCCATTTAGATTTAGTCAAAATAGTTGAAACTCATTGATGAAAAAAATTCTATTTTCCAAATAGAAATGCCACTTAATAATTAACTAATCATTATATATATTTATATAGAAATAAAAACACTTGTTACTGGTTATCTCATTTTCTTAATTATATTTAAGTTGCAAAAGAAACAATGAGATTTAGCTGGGACATGCTAAATGTCCTTTATTGCTCTCCTTCAGCATTTACTCCACACATTTACAACTCACCTCAACAACCATCCTTCTGTCCTCACTCAGCACATGACCTTGCCATAGAAAAAGTGGATTATCCTCTCAATTTCCCTCCTTTCTACTTCTCAGTGTCTCTATGGCTTCATCCGTTCTCACTTTTTTCTCCTATTTTCTTTCTTCTTTGCAGACTCCTCAAGCTGCGTCTTGGACCCCATCTCCTTCTGCCCCACCTGAGCACAATCTATTATTTCCATCCCTGTTTGGAGCTCTCCCCCTTCATTGCATTCTTGGGTCCATACAAACTTGAGTCTACTCAAGCCTTCCATCCCATTTAGATTAAAACGAACACACCTTTGCTTCCTACTGCTTCCCCCATCGCTCTCGCCCTCACTACTCTAGGAAGTCTCCCCAGGGAGATGTGGAAGGTTTGCAGATAAGGCACATTCCTGCTCTGAAAACAGTGCTGTGGCTGCTGTGTGAACAAAAGCTTGGAAGAAGAGACAATGCTGCTAGAATTCAAGAAAACTTTTTAAAAAGTATATATTCTGAGCCAGGATAGTGACCATAGAAATAGAGAAAGGAAGTGGATTTGAGAGATATTTGGAAAGTAGAACCAAGAGAACATCATTATTGACTGGGTAGAAGAGGACAGCCAAAGTTGACATCAGGTGTCCAGCCAGAACGAAGGGCACAGGGGTGGGGGAGGTTAAAGCAAGTATAAAAGAGCATTCCTCAAGGCCTGAAGAGAACAGAACTTCAAATGTGGACAAAAAGTAGGCAATGATCCATACTGAGAAATGACGACTGAATCTGCAATAAGAAAGTCATTAAAAAATAGCAAGAGCGCTTCATTCCAAACCAGGGGTGCATTCATTTTCTACTGTTGCAAATCAAATTATCACAAGTTAGCAGATTAAAGTAACACGCGTTTATTATCTGACAGTTTCCACAGGTCAGGAGATTGGACCTGGCTTAGCTGGGTCCTCAGCCTTGGGTCCCATAAGGCTGCAATCGATTGAGCTGTCAGTTGAGCTGTTTTCTCCTCTGGAAACTCTACTAGGGAGAATCAGCTTCCAAGCTCATGCATGCTGTTGGCAGAATTCATTTCCTTGAGACTCCAGAACTGAGAGGCCTGGCTTTTTGCTGGCTCTTGGTTGCCCTCAGATGCTTTAGAAGCTGCACACAGTTCCCCCTACCACATCACCCTCTCCACCGGCAGCCACAACAGGGCCAGCAAGAGAATCTCTGCAGTCTGCTAAGGAGTCCTATATACTGCAAGATAATCAAGGGAGTGGCAAACCATCAACTTTGCCATATTCTATTGGTTAGAAACAAGTCGCATGTCCTGCCCACACTCAAGGAAAGGAAGGAGATTATACAGGGCATGATTCATTGACAGTAAATTTAGGGTGTGTCCACTAGAGTCCACTCTCTGGCCCCCAATGATTCAACATTGCTGCCATGTACAAAATACATTCCTTCATTCCAAGGTCCCCAAAAGTCTCATCTCATTGCTGCCTCAGCTCAAAGTCTACAATATCATCATCTAAAGTAGGTTCCAGTTTAGATGTGGCATTTGAGTATAATCCACTAAGTACTACTCCTGGGGCGCAATTCCTTTCCATCTGTGGACCTGTGAAATTAAAGGGACAAGTTTTCTGTCTCCAAGATACTCAACATGCAATGGTGAGACAAGCATAGGATAATATTGGTAGACATTGGTTCAAAAATGGGAGAAATGGAAGATTAAAAAAGGAGTCACTGGTCCATGGCAATTCTAAAATACATTTGGGAAAATATCCAGAGTCTCTTGATTAGTTTTCAAAAAATAAGGATAATTTTCTATGGCTTTTAGTCCTGTCCTATGTGTTCGTGGTCTTGCCAGCTGAGTTGTTTTATTAATCTGCTTCTTTCAAGTATAATTTTGAGGTCTGACAGCCTTATTTTATTTTGTACTCTCTCTGTCTCTTTTAGTCCAAACTGGCAGTGTTTATGAAGAAATAGTTCTTTCAAAAATTTTGGAGACATTCCATGGATTTCACAGGGATTCACTCCATCAGACAAAAGCCACATCTACTAATTTTTTCAAGAAAATTCCTTGCCTAATTTGGCTTCATGCTGAGATGTCTGAGGGAAATTGTCCTTAAGTTTCTAGAATTCCTCTGGTTTGGTTAATAAGATTTGTAAGGCATATCCTTAGTCTTGAAAGAGACCTAGTATGACAGAATACTGTGATCTTATGATCTTTCTGAGATCTTGGCAAAGGGCTGTCCAGCCACACCTGGGCCTTTTCTCTAGCTCATGCTTTCCTGAAAGTGAATATTTGATTTTATCATCTTTTGCCTTCTGGAGAAGTTGAGAACTTTCAACATCATCAAGTCCTGGTTTATTCTGTTCAACTGCTCTTAATTTCTCTCTCTCCTCTCACAAGAAGCAAGATGAGCAGCACTGACAGTGCTCCAAGCAGCACTGTCAACACTTTGCTTGGAAATGATCTCAGTTATATATTCAGGTTCCTGACTTACTAGTTCTGCTTTCCATATAACTACAGGAGGCAATTTTGCTAAGCTCTCTACCACTACATAAAAAGGAACCTCCTCCCACCAGTTTCCAATAATATGTTGCTCACTTGCTTCTGAGTCCTCGCTCATTACCAGTGTTTTCAAAGACCCGATATCTACTAACAGTCTGTCTCAGGTGACTTGAGCATTCTCCCAGGCTGCAATCAAGGTGTCCACCAGACTGCATTCTCAGCTACAGAAGTATCTGTAGAGGTTCAGATAGTAGTATATCTAGTAGTATCTAGTAGTATAGTAGTAGAGGCTCAGCTACAGAAGTATCTTCTTCCAAGCTCATTCCAGTTGTTGGCAGGATTCATTTCCTTATGGCTATCTGACTGAGAGTCCAGGCTTCTTACTGGCCGTTGGCTGGAGGCTGCCCTAAGTTCCTCAAGGCCACAGCAGTTCCCTGGCATGAGACGCTCTCCACAGGCATCTCACAGTATGGCTTGCTATTTCCTCAAGGCCGGCAGGAAAATTTATGTCTCCAATATGCCATGACAGAGTCTCACAAACCTAACATAATCAAAGGAGTCACATCCCATCACCTTGCCATATTCTGCTAATTCACAGGTTCCACCCACACTCAAGGTCATACAAGGCTATAGTTTATTGGGAGCCACCTTCTGATGTGTCCATCATGAGAGTATAGAGGCAAGATTGTAGTGAATACAAGAATGATCAGAAAGTGAGGAAATTAAGATAATGAATATGAGAGAAAAGAGGAAAACGTCAATAATTGGAGATGTCAAGGAGGCAAAAATAAAGGAGGTTTTCTTCAAAAAATTAAGAATAGCTACTCGTGATTAAATGTTTATGGAAAGAAACCTAAAAAGAGGCTAAAAATACTTAAGGAAGAAAAAATAGTAAAAGCTAATGTTTATCAAATGTTTACCATGTGCCAGATATTAAAGCATTAAATAGTTACTTAATTTTGTTCATCTAATCTTCACAAAAACCTCATGAAATGCTCCCCTAATATTTCCATTTTAAGATGAGACAGCTGAGAATTTGGGAAGAGTGACTTGCTCAGTGGCTCACTGATGGCACATTGCAAAGCTAAGACATGAATCCAGGCAGTCTGGCTCCAGAGCCCATACTCTCAACCAAGCATTTAGATTCCTGGGAAGATGGGCGAGCTGACAATTCTCTCATCATAAAATGTCATGAAAATTAAATGAGACCACATTAGCACTCAGCCCTCAGCCTGTCTGATGCACATTAGGTGCTTAATTAATGGCAGTTGCTTATTACTATTATTATTAGTCCTTCATACTTGCATTATTGAGGACTCATCAAAAATTATAATATAACATTCACCAGATAAGGTTTTACTACAGCAATAACAGCAACAAAAACCATCTTAGAGAATCCTACTTCACCCATACCACTGCTGTCAACAATAGAAGCCAAAAGACAGGGTAATATTACCTTGAAAATATTAAGGAAAAAAATCACTGCCAATTTAAAATTTTGTCATGAAATAAACAAAAATGAAAAGCTTTACCAATGACAGACATTCACTTTTATTTCAGGAAAAAAATTATCTCAGGACAGTATGACATGTAATAAGAAATGAGTAAGATAAAATAGAAACATATAAGTATAAACATTTTTATCTAAAGTAATGGTAGTAATTTTATTTTGTATTGTAATTTGTATAATTTAAAAAGTATAGAACTAAAATACAAAACAAAAAGAAGTTTGAGTTGGGAAGGCAGTGATAAAAGTTAGATGGGTCTAAGTTCTTTTTATTACCCAGGAGAATAATCCCTGTACTCAGGAATACAATATTACTTAACTTTAGACTTTACTATAAATGCATGGCAATATTTAAATAGTAAAAACTAAAACAGAAATGAAACAAAAGGAATAGATAAGAAAATTGAATAAAGACAAATTTTTAAATTAAAAACTTCAATACAAAAAGTAAACAGTGATAAAGAGATTTTAAAAGAAACAACGAAATAGAAGGGCAAGTATTAAACACCACAATTTAAGAGGGAAAGAGGAAGGAAGGGAGAGAGAGAGAGAACTAAGACAACAATAACAACAACAAAAAATCCAGACAGAAGAAAAAACACAGATTCCAAATCTTCCAAGTAAAACAGAGACATTGTCAGAATGGATTTATTAAAACAAGATAAATCTAAAACCTAGGATATGGAAAAGTTAAAAGTAAAAGGATAGAAAAGATATAACTAAGAAATACTAATCAAAATAAAGTAGACATACTATCAAACAAAGCAAACATTAAGACAAAAAGTATTATTAATGATAGAAAGGGTCACTATGTAATGATAAAATGTTAAATTCTTCAGCAAGGCATAACAATTCTAAAGATGTGTGTCTATAATTGATAAACCAAAAATTGAAAGAACTACAGAGAGAAATTGACATCTAACATCATACTGGGGACTTTAACATATTACAGTTACTGATAGATTAGGTAAAAAAGTGCATATTTTTAAATTTCATTTTATTTTTTTTTTGAGACAGAGTCTTGCTTTGTTGCCCAGGCTAGAGTGAGTGCCATGGCGTCAGCCTGGCTCACAGCAACCTCAAACTCCTAGGCTCAACCAATCTTACTGCCTCAGCCTCCCAAGTAGCTGGGACTACAGGCCTGCACTACCATGCCTGGCTAATTTTTTCTATATATATTAGTTGGCCAATTAATTTCTTTCTATTTATAGTAGAGACGGGGTCTCACTCTTGCTCAGGCTGGTTTTGAACTCCTGACCTCGAGCAATCTGCCCGCCTCGGCCTCCCAGAGTGCTAGGATTACAGGCGTGAGCCACCACGCCCGGCCAAAAAGTGCATTTTGAATACCATATAAAAAATAAGACCCTGCTATGACATTCTGTTGACTAGAAAAGAAAAAAAAAAAATAAGACCTAAGGAACAAATATGAAAAACATACCAAACAATGATAAAATATATATTTTTTCAAGTAAACAGGAGTGATTTATAAAATAGGCCATAAGTAAATCTGAACACATTTCAAAGAATCAGTAGAATCAAGCAGAATATTCTTTTCATAATGTATTTGGAATTTGAAATTTTTTTAAAAGTTTAAAAAAATTCATATATAACAAAAGAAATACTATAAATTTAAAAATACTATGAAATTTAGTAAATATGATACTTGAAAATATATAGCCCTAGGTGGCTTATGGTATAAAAGAATAAAGTTTGAAAATTAATGAAATGAGTATCCAACTGAAATTTTAATACAAATAACAAAAAAAATCCCTTTCAATAAAAAGAGAAAGAAACTATAAAGGTAAAAGCAGATTTCAATCAAACAGAAAATAAAGATAAAGAAAGATCAGAAAGCCAAAATTTGATTCTTTAAGTAGAGATTTCTGACAAGATTAATCAAGAATACAAAAGGCACAAATAAAAGGGTGATACATAACTACAAACACAGCAGAAATTGAAGTTATAATAGATGATATTTTGAATAATTTTATGCAAATAAATTTGAAAACTTAGATGAAATGGACCTATTCCCAGAAAACTATGGTAGCAAAACTAAAGAAGAAATAAAAGACTAAATATTTCTGTACCTATTAAAGAAAACATTACAGATTATTTTACAGGTGGCTTCTATCAACCTTTCAAAGAAAAGATGATCACTGCAATCTTTAGACGAGCTCATTCATTAATAGGAAAGAACTATTCCCCCAATCATCGTATGAGACCAATATAACCTTGATACTCAAACACAACAAGGTCACCACTCATAAATATAGGGACAAAGATCCTCACCAGTAAACCAAATGCAGTGATGTATAAAAAAGATTATATAATCTGATCAAGTTGGTTTAACCCAGGAATACAGTTGATCTAATATTAAGTAATCTATGATATATAATTGGCTATATGTACATATTAAAAGATAAAAACATAGTCATTTAAATACCTGATGAAAAATAATTTGATAAAATTCAAAACAGGAATAGAAAGAAACTTTTTAACTTAGGTTAAGTTATCTACAAAAATCAACCAGAAACTTCATTCTTAGTGGGATAAATTGCCTTTAAAATTTGGAAAAAGATAAAGGACATCTCTATCACCACTTCTAGTCGGCATTGTTTTGGAGTTTCTAGCCAGCACAATTAGACAAAAAAAAGAAATGGAAGCTATAGAGAGAAAGAAAGAAAGAAAATTATCATTATTTAAAGAAGATATAAATATCTATTTATGAGCCCAAAAGAACAGATCTAAGCATTTTCAGAAATAATAAGACTGCATTGCTTCTTGGCCTTTTGGCTAAGATCAAGTGTAGACATAATAACAGTTCATCAAGGTGGCTGGCTAGTAGAAAGATATTCAAAAATCAATTTCATTTCTATGAACTATCAGAATTTTTTACATAGATACCATTTATGATAGCAGCAAAAATTATGAGGATAGTTAGGAATATTTCTAACAATATATATGTAAAATCTGTTTAAAAGAAAAAGTGAAATAAATGAGGAGATTTATCATCATGGCTATAAACTAAAGAATTCAATATCATAAAGGTGTTGATTTTCCCTAAAATAAGGATGTCAATTCTCTGTAAAATAATCTAAATATTCAATATTTTTTCAGTCAAAATTCCCAACTATTAGAAAGCTGAATTTAAAATTTGTATGACAGAGTAAAAGCTCAAAAATAACCAGCAATTTCCTGGAGAATAATATTGTGTGGGTACTTGCTCTCCCAGATGTCAAGAATTTCAGTGAGGTTATAGTAATTAAGGCATTGTACTGTTGGGCCAGGAATAGAAAAATTGACCAACGGAACAGAATAGAGAGCCTAAAATTATACTTGATCTACATATATGTGAAAACTTGCAGTATGATAGAGGCAGAACTGCAGAGCTTTGGGCTAAGGATAACATTTCAATAAATTAAACGGAAACATTTGAATATCCATATGGGGACAATTGAAATTTTATCACTCACATTGAAAAAAAACCCATCTTATAATAGAGAAAGGTCTTAAATGGAAAAAGAAAAGCTTAACCTTTTCAAAGACAATACGGAAGAATGTCTTAATGACCCTGGTGTAGTGAAGGACTTCTTAAACAAAGTGTTTTTTCTTTTGAAAGGAAAAAGGCCCTGACAACAAAATTAAAAAGAGCATATTTAACTACATTAAAATTAAGAAGCTCTGTTAACCAAAAGCCACCATATAGACAATTACAAGGCGATCTACAAATTGTGAGAAGATATGCAGCATATAACCAAGGGTTAGCATACAGAATTCATACTTTAAATGCCTAAAATCAATAAAAAATAGAAAACCAAACAAAAAATATGTATAGAAAATTAATAGAACAGGAAATACTAGTGGCTGATAGACATGCAAAGCTGTTCAAATTGAGAAATGTGAATTAAGATTACACTGAGACACCAGTTTTTATCCACCACACTAGTAAAAGTAAAGTCTAACAATATCTATTACTGTAGAGGATATAGATCGACAGGAACACTCATCCGCTACAGGTGGGAGAATAAATTATGTAGCACTACACGAAACAATGTGTCATTTTCTTGAAAGTTAAACATTCACGCTTTCTATATACCAGCAATTCCATGCCTCGAAATATATCCTGGAAAACTATGCCACATATTAACAGAAAACATGAAAAAGAATATTTAGGACAACTCTGTTATTAAGAGGGAAAAAAAGGAGGCAATAAGTCAAATGTTAACAGAAAAATAAATAAATAGATAAAAAATATAATTTAGTGTTGTATAAAATATTTAAAGTGTCATACTAAGCACAATATTTAAAGTTCATTAATAGATTCAGTAAATGTTACTCGGAGCACTTTTTCACCTTGGTTCTCTTAGCCTTCATATTAGCTTTTGCTAATAGAGCAAACATGGATATCTCAGGTTTATTCCAAGTGAGCCTCTCCAAGACCTCAATGGCCTTGTCATGGTTTTCACAAAATGAATAAATAAGTGCTTGCTGTACAGGACTCAACTCAATAAGACCTAAAAGGAAAGGAACATTCATCAGTATCCTTGCCAAGTATCAAGGATTTAGAATACAATTATTTTAAGGCAAACAATTCAACAATTTTTTCTTGATAATATGAATTAACAAATCAATATTATACTAAAATCTATTTACTACCAGCAAACAATAAGAAATTCTCATTATAAACAAAAACATACTGTAAGCTTGATATTTCCTATAATAATCTCACTCAAAAAATTCACTATGTTATGAATCACTTTACTAATTGTTATGCACATATGAAACTGAGGTTTCAAAATCTAACTTTGACTTTCAAGTAAACTCTTCATGCTATTAAAAACAGAATAAAAAATTTAAAGATGTATTTCTTAAGTTAAAACAATTATAATTTTGCATTAATTATATTTACCTGTGTCCATTTCTGCTACTTGATAAATAGTAAACTTTGCAAGATCATAACATTTCATCATAAGAAGATACTGCCCTCTGGAAAAAAAAATAATAGCTTTTGAGTCTAAGTAGTTAAAAATAATTTATCTAGAATAAAATTTCTTATAACCAGCTACTTAAAATGTTACAATTATGATACAATCATTCACATTTACACATGTATGCATAAAAAAATGTGAAAATTATATATTTTTTATATGCTCTAAATAGACGAATTACCATACAGATGTGATGAGAAAACCATTTAGGAATATAATACTGAAAGGAAAATACTCAAATTTCTTTTTGCAATTATCTGTATTTAACATGTCATACTTTGTTGCTATGAAATTATTAAAAGATAAAGTTCAAGGAACATAAAAGGGGGAGGTAGTTACATAAATTGATATTAATAAAATATGGTTCAAGAGTTAAAGGACAAAGCAAGCCCTTATCAGAAAGCATTTTTCCATTCCATTTTCCCAAGTCTGTAAATTCTTAAAAGATAATATTATATTTTTGATGGTGATAACTCATAAACTGCAAAAGTTCCCTTTATAGCAAGTTTTACTACATTTGAAATACAATTCAATGTATTACTTTTTTTTTCACTGAATTAGCTGAGGTTTATGTTTGGTACCTCTGTGGACACAGTCAAAAACTGTTCAAAATATGTCATCTTACTCTCATGAGATATGTGATAACTACATAACTAGTAACCTAGGAATGCCCTGAAGAACTTAAACACTAAACAGTTGTGTTTTGACACAAGGGTAGAGCAAAGGAAAAGACCTGGTTATCTCACATAATAAATTATTTTAAAGTTTAACAAACTGGCTTGCTGGTTGGGAGATGGCCATTGTTGGGAGATTAAACGTAAGACAAAGAGGCTAGATCAAGGATCAGGAGAACTCAGTATCCTGGGATGCTAAGTTATCCCAAAAAGAATTCAGTTTCTATGTTCATACCTCATTATATATAATTGAATTCCATCTGGCTGAAGGTGGATAGCACAAGATAAGTCTCTTACTGCCTTATCCAATTTATGCACCTGTTTAATGATAAACAGAAACTTAGCTCCTAATAATATTATTTCCTTTTGATATTATATTTTTCCCTTCCCACCTTTTACTACAGAAATTTTGCAGGAACCTCTCCCAATACACATGTTTTTCTTAAGAATCATCAAAACCCAATGGTACACAGAGAAGAAAACAAAAAAAATGTTTATGATGCAGTATGTTTATTTTTTTAATAATTTATCTTTAATTTTGAAGAATGATCACACATATCCACATGTATATAATTTTACATAAATGGGATTATATCATACATTCTTATTTGTGTTCATGTATGTTTTCCATTTTTCATTTAGTTTTTCAGTTTCTCTCCTTAAACCATAAAACCTTTTTCACCAAGCTTCACTCATGTTAATAAACTACCATATGAAAGGGGGTAGGATAAAAAGTCAATTCCACTTAAAAATAATGGAGGAAAAATAGGCTTGCACAAAAATTAAGTAAATGAATGAATATAACAAAATACAAGAATGATGAAAAGGAGATCCATTTAACATAAATACATCATGAAAAGTAAACATTGATTCTTCCCTCAATACTGGTCACAGAATCATAACATGAATTTGTGCAAATTTGGGAACAAAAAACAACTACCATTGGAAATATTACAAAAGCAGCACTACACAGAGCAAAATTAACCTGAGACAACCAACCATACCTTTTATTATGACATGATGATGCAAAGAAGAGAATGGACATAACGAATTTGTGCATGGGAGTAGGCAGTACCTGTAGAAATGGTTTGGAGGAAATAGTGGATGGAAATCAAAAGAGGGAAGCCAAAAGGAGGAGGTTTTAGATTTGTTTAAACAAACTGGAGAATTTCTGTGAAAAGCTGACCCTACTTAGGTTGGCATAATTGATAAATCATCTAGTTATATGTGCACATTGCTGCACGTGTTCTACTAACCACACATATCCATGCACTAAGGAAACCCTGGTTTAGGAGAAATGGAGGACTATTTATTGTCTGATCTCTGCAAGCTTCCCTGTGGTTAGACCTCTACCAGGCAACCTTAAATTAGATTCACCCTGGAGGCTGCAGCCACACAGTAGGAGTATGTATTCTTCTATATACATATAAACAAAGGTTGCTCTATAGTTGTTTTATTTACATGGAATCATATTGTACACATTTATACTCTTTTCTGAATCTTGCTTTTCTTACTCAAAAATATCTCATGAAAATCCCTCCAAGTCAGCTTGAATAGTTCTATTTATTCTTTTTACTGACACTGTCATATTCTATGGTGTGAATACACCACACATTATTCAACCATTACTGTGTGGGGATTTTTGTCTCTCAGAACAAAGAGTCTTTGGATTTATGTCCTTACATCCTGCAATCATGCTGGTGCTTTGGTTTCTATGTGTGCCCAGGAAAAACTCTAACCTCCCCAGATGGCCTCCTCTTCATCAACAAGGTTAGGTTAAGGAAAAGAGCCACACACCAGCCATTCTTTCTCCAACAGGGTCAAGAGCAGTCTTCACCTGGAGACAACACTGAACCTGCCCTGGGTCTTCCACCTCCATCACCAACAGGGTAAGGACTCTAAATGGGGCTGTAGTCACACTGGGTAGATGTGGACCATGGAGAGCAGAGTCTCCAGGCCATCCCCCAGTGAACATGTGGTATGAGCAAGAAATAAACTTTTAATATTTTAATACAGTGATTTTTAAGTTTTTTTTTTTTTTTTTTTTTTACCTCAGCGTAAGGTAAACTGAAACCAGTATAGTTAGAGGAAACAAGGGTAGAAAGGTAATGAAGAGCCAGCTCCTGTGGGTTCCTGTAGGTCTTTGTCTTTTGGAGGATTTGGCTTTTATTCTAAACACAAAAGGAAGTTGTTGAAGGGTTTTGAGTAAAGAAGTGAAATAATCTGACTTATGTTTTGGCAAGATAACTGTGGCTGCTGTGTTAAAAATCCATCAAAAGTACTAAGGAACAGAAGCATGATCAGGAGGCTACTGCAATAATCCTGGTGAGAAATGAGTGTCCTGGACAGGGCATTTAGTGGAGCAGTAGTGGAACAGGTTGTCTATTCTGAAAGGTAGAGATAAGAGTAAATAGAATTCTATCTGGAAAGTCAGATTTGGTTGGAGTTGAAGAGGACTTGTACTATTTATTGTACTGTTTGTGTTTGTTATACCAAGGATATATTACATTTATTTTTTTAAGTTAAATAACTTGTAAAACTTAAACAAAATTTAAAGAAAAGTATGAATGATTGGGATCGCATTCTATGCATGGATCCCATTCTATGAACCCACTCATTCACCACACACACACACACACACACACATACACACACACAACGTTGGACCATAGACTCAAATGTTACTAGTAGCTACCTTTAGAGAATGAAATTATAGATAATAATTTTTAATTTATTCTTATTCATACTCATATTGCATGCAATAAACATATAATGTTTTTATAATAAGGAAAAAACATATAAGTATTATTTTAAAAAATGAAAGACATAAAAATGCACATCTCATAAGTAGAGGCTATATATATGGGTAAGTACAGCTAAGTATATCTGTTTAACAGTTACTGTTTATAAATGCATTACCCCCTACAATTAGCTAAAGAAAATAATAAATTAGATATTAAAAATTATATTTAACAAATATCCAGAAAACTAAAACTTTTTTCAAAAGAATCTAGGTTCTCAAACATTAAATACCTTTTGATAGGCTTCTGCTCTACAAATATAGCTTTGTATATATAAAGGATCAAGTTTAATAGCCTCAGAAAAATTCAAAATGGCCTCAGTGTAGTTATCCAGGTGTAGGAGATATATGAGACCAATATTTACATAAGCCAAAGTAATATTTCTAAATAAAATGAAAAAGGAAAATCTTGTTAAACATTTTTAATTATTCCAAATGTTCTCCAATTGTGAATGAACCTTATGAAATACATACATCAATATATATGAGGATTTTTTTTATATTTTTGCAAGGCAAAGTAAATCAGTAACTATTGTCTACTAAAAATTATAAACACCTTTATAAAATCCTTGGTAGGAAATTAACATTTGTAAGGAGTCTGTGCTAAGAACAGAATTCCTAAAGTCTCCTGGACTCTTAGCAAGATGTTAATTTTGAGTTAACTTAATCTTGAGTTAACATGAATTGTATAAGTTTCATTTTCTTCAAGCCAAAAGTCTTTGCCTCAGGCTATGTTATATTGGCCACAAGTAACAGTGAGAAAGAGTAATATTCAAGAATTTGGCAGCTTGGGTTGAAAATCCTCTCTACATAGGTACTAACACAGCACTTTTCTGTATCAAATAAACATTGGGGGTTTTTTTAGAATCAAATAATTTTCAGCATAAAAATGACCTTTGAAATTACCTTATTTGATGCTTCTACTTCAAAATGAGAAAACCACCCATTCCATAGCCCAACCTCATAGAAGCCCTGACCCTTTGCCTAGACACCAGTTTCCACTGGCTGCCTTCTGACTTAATGCAACTGAAACTCTTCTCTTTTCCTTCCTGGCTCAAAAATGTTCAAAAGAAACCAATGCAGTCATTATGGAGTCACACTCCATGACTTTCCTGTGTCAAAGTCAAAGTTTACCTCGGACAGGCTAAGTAAACCGCCTGCTGGTTGTCATGGAATTGGATTAGTTACTCTTCTGACACCTTCCATTTTCAAAAATGCTTCATTGGAAAGAAGGGGAATTATTTAATTAAATGCTGTGATTTACAGTTTGAGTTTTCTGACTAGAGTGTTCAACTTTCAGTCTGTTTTTCTTCCTGAATCTTATGGTCTAATGGTATTGACATTTTTCTTTTGCTTTACTAAACACAATAAAGTCAGAAGTTCTAAATAGAGGGTTTCCTTCGATTGAGTTATATGTTGTACACAGCAATGATATGTCAAGCAGAATAGTTTGCCATTATTTTAAAACCTGATGACAGTTTTCCAAGATGTTAATTTCAAAAAGCTCTAGTGTGAGTACCCCCAAGCTCCTCTTAATATTAGGTTATTAAGTATGAAATGTTCAATTTCCTCAAGTACTAAATTTCACAGTTGATATCGCCGATATTTCACTTTGATACTTCTTGTTTTACTTTTGTTGTGAAGGTACAGCCTCATTCTTTCGAATGCATGGTTTGAGCTTGTGATTATCTTTCAAATATTTTTTGGAGCAATTTTGCAAAACCATGAATAAGTCAAAAATTCAAGTTATTTTTTAATATGAGTTCTATAGAGGAACCAACGCAGCGCAGACAGCTTGAAATATTAACAAAGTGTTTGGGAAGGATGTGGCTAATGAACACACAGCACATCAATGATTTGAGAAGTTCCATTCTGGTGATTTTAATCTTGAAAATGAGCCACATGGGCAACCTGAGACCAAGGTGGATAATGATGAGCTGAAAGCTGTAGTGGAAACGAATCCATCTCAACCTACACATGAATTAGCAGCAAGGTTTGACGTAACTATTCCAATAATATTGGACCATTTGAAACAAATTGGCAAGGTAAAGAAGCTGGATAGCTGGGTTCCACCTAGTTAAATGAACATCAGAAGAGAAATCATCTTGAAGCTTGCCTTTCTTTGCTGTCATGACATAAAGGCAAACCATTTCTACACCATATTGTTAGATGTGGTGAAAATGGATTCTTTTTGACAATTGCAAGTGTTCTGCACAATGGCTGGGTAAAGATGAAGTCCCGATACACAGTCAAAACCAAATATTTATCAAAAAACAACTATGGTGCCTGTTTGGTGGTCCAGTGCCGGTATTATCCACTACAGCTTCTTGACACCTGGTCATTCGATTGCAGCAGATGTCTTCTGTAACCATTTGAATGAAATGATGAGGATGCTTGTGATTAAGCAGTCAAGATTGGTCACTGGAGACAGGCCAATCCTCTTGCAAGACAATGCTCAACCACATGTCGTACAAACAACTCTGCTCAAACTACAGAGACTGGACTTGGAAACTCTGTCATCCGCTGTATTCACCAGACCTTGCACCAACTGAGCACAACTTCTTCCAGGCTTGGACCACTTCTTGCAAGGAAAAATATTCAATTCTCAATGCCTTTTGTGATTTCATCACCACTCACTCTCCAGGCTTCTTCACTGCTGGCATAAACAAGCTACTGTTAAGATGACAAAATTGTATCAATAATGTAGGTGCATAATTTGACTAATTGTACTGCTTCTTGTTTGAGATATAAACTTTTACTTTGAAATTGTACATTTCATATTAATGACCTACTTGTTGATTTGTTAGGCATACATTTAACTCTCCTCAAACTCACTCAACCTGTAAATTTGTAAAAACACCTGAGCCAAATACATGTTGAGAATGGGTATTATTTTAGAAGCAATCTTAATTTTAGAAGTAGTATTCTAATTCTAGGATGATTTTATATAATTGTCTAATTTCCCTGTCTATATAAGTGTCTAATTAGGTTATCAATGACAAGGTAAAGGAAGCTTTTTCTTTCATTTCAGTTTTTTAATTTTATATAAAAGTGAAATCATTAAGAATGAAAAGGAAAACATACCTTTCTAGATAAATAACAGTTTCAAAGTCACAAATTGCCAGCATCCAAAGTTTTAGATGTGTATAGATTATGCCCCGATGTAGAAAAGAACCAAAATTCTCATAGCCATCATTTAAGAGAGCTTAAAAATGAAAATATAGATCTTATTTCAGGTTTTGAACAATCATATCTGAGTAATAATTTTGCCTATAACCTTCCTATTGCTTATTCTTTTTTAACATTACATAAAATAGAACATATCTATGATGAGTGTTCATTTTCCGTGAGTAAAAAATAGTATTATACATAAAAATGTATTTATTTATTAGTAAGAGTGTGGCTGTGGTTCACAAACTCTTTAGATCCAGAAGAAATCCTGATGATAATGCAGTATGGTCCACTCACTTTACAGACGAGGAGACTAAGGTCCAAAGGGGCTAGGTACATCGACCATGGTCATATTGCAAGTGAATGGCAAAGATTGCCCTAGAATATAACACCAGTCAGAAGGGCACCATTGCCCTCAATGGCCTGTTATTATCACAATGACTTTGTTACTGGCCAAGGAATAGGCACGGGTACTAGTCCAGACCAGGGCAGCAGACAGAGGTCAGGCACACATACAAGTCAAGATGGGAAGCTGCAAAGAGGCTACATCAAGGCAAGCAGAACTTGGAATTAAGGCAAACAATTTGACTATGCATGTCCCAAACAACAGAAGCAAAGAGCAAAAAGAACCTACTCTTAATACTCCAGGGGCATGACTCTAAGCAGTCTGGATGTCATCTCATATCTCTCCCTTACTGATTCCCCCTTCACTTTCAAAAACATGCTAGTAGGTTAGATGGGTTTTCCATGAGGTTTTGTTGTTGTTGTTGCTGTTTTGTTTTGTTGTTTTAGAGACAAGGTCTCATTCTGTCACCCTGTCTGGAGTACAGTGGCACAATCTTAGCTCACTGAAGCCTGAAACTCCCAGGCTCAACCAATCCTGCCAACTCAACCTCCCATGTAGCTGGGATTGGTTTTTCACAAGTCTTGACACATATCTTCTAAGCTTCTCAAGCCCATTCTGGCTTAGGAGGGAAAGTTTTGACAAAAATGTGCATAATATTCATAGTCTGGGAAAAAAATATTCACAGCACTGGATTTGGGGAAGTATACCCAGTATGAGCAATGATCATACAAATTAAGTAAATACAGTAATGCATCACTTAATAACGAGAATATGTTCTGAAAAATGCATTGTTAGGCAGCTTTGTCATTGTGCAAATATGTTAGAGTGTACTTACACAAACCTAGATGGTACATATATTTTTATTTATGTGTATTTTTCATATGGAAAACCAAATCTTCCAGCACCATAACTGAATAATAATCATTTCCCCTACTTGATCTGCAATGCCAATATCAAATGCCATATATCAGGTTTCTATATATGCTTCATTATAATCTTATGAGACCACCATCGTATATATAGTCCATTTTTGACTGAAGCATTGCCTTCAAGTAATTACAGTCATGCAGTGCAGACTGCTCAGCTCACAGCATGATTAGTTATGAAAATGAAAAACAGTTTTGGTGGTTGCTTTAGAAAAACAAAAATTATTTTTAAGGAAAAAAATTAGAGTTACTTAACCCCTCTGTGCTTTGGTTTTCTCATCAGTAAAATATGAATGAAAATAGTACCTACCTCATAGCATTACTCTGAATATTAATTGAGATATCCCATATATAGCACCTAGAACAGTGCTTGGCAAGTAGTGCAATGCCCAATAAATATTAGATATTATTATTATTACCTTAGAAAAATATCTTGAGGGTCATATTTAGTTGTAGCTTAAACTAAAAAGTTTAGCTAGCCTATAGGAAAGAGCTGAGGCCAAACTCAAGCTTTTCTGCTTTGAATAATTAAATAATAGGAATTTCAAACTATTATTTGAAGCCTAGAAAGGTGGAAGGGACAGTGAGAAGCCCAAAACTTATAGGAGAAAAAAAATATGAGCAAAAGACCTTTTGAGAAAAACCAGGGAGAAAGGCATTTGGCCAGATGGCAGATGGACAGGACTGATAGTGCCAGATAAACTTATGGAAAAGTGGGTGTTTGACTTTCAATTTCAAGTTGTTTATTCTAAATGTATCCTCTGAACCCTAACATTCAGAATATTACACACAACATGCTTGTGTTAATGTTCCATTGGGGAATGAAGGAAAGACCTGGGAAAAAGCAAAACAGAGAGATCAGTAGCCACAAGAAGCGAGTGGGTGAGCAAAGATGGGGAATCTAGCCAAGAACAGAAATCAGACGTTAAGATGACAAGAGCACTGAACAGGAATCCTCAAGTCTCTTTCCCAAGAATCCCTGGAAATAGAGGGGAGGGCACGAAACTACTCTCCGCACATAGAACGGGGTTTGAGTTATTTTATTTGAATTTTAATGGGAAGGGTGACCTCAGAAGGCAAATAGACCCAGAGACAGTCAGGTAACAATCCTCTTAGATTTACTTCCTTGTAAGAGTCTAGTTCTCTCTTAATCTCTAGATACTGCCTCACCTAGGATGGTGGGATTCTACAACCTTGCACCCAGGCAAACACAGCCATGTTTAGAGTTCTGGGCTCTGGCTAGATTTTGTCAGCAGAATGAGCTCATTCATTACATTGGACATTGTTTACTAAGCACTTATTCTATGCCCAGAATTGTGCAGGGCACATATATAAGCCAGGAATGCACTGGTTGAGGGTAAGGTAGAAATGGTCATTTTTAATTGTTGGCATCCAACTAGCTACTGAGGATTCTCAAAGCCTATTTTTGGTTTAAGGGTCACAAACTCTGAATTTGACAAATTCATGGGCTGAGACTATGGAGTAGGACACAGCCCACCAGGACAATTTATTGCCATTTTAGCAAACTGACCAGGAAATGGACCTGGGTTTCCAGAAAAATCCTCAGAATTCAATATATAGAAAAAGGTTTATTTGATATAATAGTATCCCCTTGCCACAGTTACCACACACGCATGCATGCATGCACACACACACACATTCTTAAAGGGCATATTAGAAACACTTCTAGCTAAACCATTATAGCTTATAATTATACAGTGTATGAATAGTATACTATATATATGTATATTTAAATGTATGAATATATATGATAGTAGACATTAGTGATCTCACATCAGTATTCCCTGCTATGAAACTGAGCTGCTGAACTTCAGATCAGATTCCTTTATAAGTGCAGTTGAAGGCAACGTACCTGAAACGCTATAATCCTGTAGCGCTCTAAGAGGGTTAGCTTTTCTAAATAAGCAAGCTCGATAATAAAATGCTAACCAGTTATTAGGATCTAAGTGAACTGCCACAGATAAATCTTGAATTGCTTGCTTATGAAAATTCCGTTTAAAATATGCTCTCCCTCGGTATGTCCTAGAAAGAAAATTATTTTAACATGTATTGCAAAATATATATTTTCTGGTTTTGGTTAATCTATATGACTAATTTCACATTGGAATGACAATTTGTTATTATTTATCCTTGATTCTCAAGAGAGTTCAGTCATGATGTTATTAGCAAAAAGGATATGAACTTTTTATAAATAAATATACTTTATTGTATATATAATTATATACTTATTAAGTATATTCTATATATTAATTATGTGTCTATTAATTTTATTTTGTTTCCTGTATTTATCATGGAGGTATGTAATAAACTAAATATAATATTTATTTATTTTTATTATTTATTGAATACCCAAAATGTGTTAGGCACTAATTTATACACAATTGTTCTCTAGAAAAACAAAATAACCTATTTTGCAGAAAATGGGCCCAATGAGTATAACTTGTTATGGGGGTTTTCTCTAGTACTGAAAATATACCCCAACAAATAAGAGTGTACTCTTTCATGGAGGAAAGCTATTACATTAGTTGTGTGAATTGGGTTCTTCTCATTAACTCTCACTCCAATTTTGAAATTGTCATCGACCTATATCAATTCCTGAAAACTCATTTTCAATTAGTTAATAATGTGAAGTATATCAGTTTTTAGAAATGAAATAAAGATGACAATTAAGGAAAAATAGGAGGAATTAGCTTCTAGATTGTCTGCTCTGAAGATGTTAAAATAAATCCAATGGGAGGATAAATAAGTGTTCAAGAGTGCTATATTATGAAGGCAATGGTAATTCAGACAAAAGAGTGCAACCAGTATATTGGCAGATTGATAATAGAGGTCTTTTAAAAGTAATAAGCCTCTTGAGACTCAAGATATTTTATCATGTAAGAAATAATTTTCCCTACATTTAAAAAAAAGTGGTAAATATCAATGAGGAAATAATTAACAATGCCATAGTATATTCATTTGATAATTATCACTGTATCTAATAAAATAAAATTTAGAAGAATTTAACACAAAGCGTATCTCTGTAATATACTTGAAGTTTACAAAGCAGAATATAAAATTATACATATGGTATATTTTTTTAAAAGATAAAAACCTACATATAAAGGGGAAAAAAGAAATGTCTTATTTTCTAATAAATAAAAAAGCTTTCTATTTATTTTTAATTATTACTCATTGCTAAAGAATATTACTAATTAGTTTTCAACATATATATGATTCTGAACTTAGAATCTTACACAATAAATCTTCTGTAATGTCCTTTGTAACACAGCATTAAGTCATATTAATTCAAACACACTGACTTTTGCATTTGTTCTTTCTTTCATTTCTACTGCTTCTATATACTTCAGCCTCTCATCAGTACACACTTACACTGCTATTTTACTCCATTCCTAGCTCTGAAGTGACAAGATTTGATTATCACATAATAAAGATTTCCTTTCTCAAAAATTTCTTTCAATAGCCCCCTATTGCTAATGGAATAAAGCCAAATTCTTTAAAATGGCATATAAGGCTCCCCGTAAGACAGAACCATCTCACAATACCTGAATTAACCATATTTTTCCCCTGCAACTAATTTTATCCCTTCCTTCCCTGTTAACTCAAAAAGAAGTAGACAACCAAAACAGACCAATAACAAGAGAAGAAATTTTAAAAAGTTTCAGTAAAGATTGCCCTACAAATGACTACCAGCTGGTATAATTTTAGAGGTTAGTTATTTTAAATTTTCAAAGAACAAAAAAAAATCCAATACTAAGGATATGTTTCTAAGAAAAGATGGAAGACTTAATTCATTTTGAGAAAATAGCCAAATCCTGAAATCAAAATATGACTACAAAACTAGTGACCAATCTTACTATGAAACTAGATTAAAAATCTCTTTTAAAAAAAGTAAAACAGACTGTTGATCTCTTGGGAAAAATGGCGGAATAGGGCTGACCTCTTGACTTTTGGCTCTTGGGGTGAGGGGTGAAGAGGACAGAGGACGGAAGACCACACGCAGGCCATCTGCACCTGCTCTGGAGCAGATTTGCAGGACTGCAAAGAGACACTGGGATACAGAAATCGTGAACAACAATTAAAGGTGAACCAAAATTCTTTCACAAAAACCGGGGAGTCAGAAGTATAGTGGGGAGGGAGTGCGCCCTCGCATCAGCCGCCCCACAGGCTGGCCGGAGAAGGCATCCCTTCTCCCCCACACAGGGAGACGATACCTTCCCCACTGGTCCCCACGCCCAAGCAGGCAGGGAATTGCCTGAAGTTAATGGGAGGTGGCAACGTGGGAAGACGAGCAGTTTGGAGGGGAGTCTGAAGCAGGTAGCATTTTGAATTCTACACAGCGCCCTGCTGAAGCAGTGGGGAGTACAGGAAGGGTCTGAACCCAGCACCCGCTCCTCAGCCCTGCCGCCCAGCCCCCGCGGCTTGGAGACTGCGCATGGAACCACACAGGAGGTGTTCTCCGGGCTTCCCCAGTGCACCAAACCAGCTGAACTGTTCCTGCTTAAGGAGAGGGTAGCCTATCGAGCCCACAGCACTGCTGAAGCAGTAGTGGGTAGGGAGAAGGGCCCAGCTCTGTGTTCGCTCCCCCACCCCGCTACCCTACCCCCATGGCTTGAAGAAGCTGTGGAGGACCATACTGGAGGAGTTTGCCAGGCTTCCCTACTACCCTAAACTAGACAAACTCTTTGAGCGGCTGAAGAAGGCACCTCTCTGAACCGCCAGAACCCCACTGAACCAGTAGCGGGAGAAAAAAGGGTCCAAACCCTGCAGCCACTTCCTAGCACTGCCACACTGCCCCGAAGCTTGGAGACGCTGTGGGGGGCAGTGCTCAAGCATTTCTCTGGCACCTCTTCTACCCTAAACTGGCTGATCTGTTCAGGCCTCCAGAGAAGGCAACTTGTTGAGCTCCCAGTGCTCCGCTGAAGCAGAAGCAAGTGGGGAAGGGTCCGACCCAACAGCTGCTTCCCAGCTCCACCGAGCTGCTCCTTAGTGTGAAAACACTGTGGAGGGCTTCCCTGGTAGTAAACTCAGTCTTCCCCTCTGCCCTAACCGGGCAGGTGGCCTTGAAAGCTGAATTTATAAGGGTGGTGCTTTATTTATAAAGTTGAGAGTGGTGCTTTGTTTGGCAGCTATCTCACAAGTTTGAACCTGAGTGGTATCTTGCTGCACTCAGTGGTTGGCATTCTGTGCCCAGAGAGTACAGCCAAAGAAGCGAAGAAGGCTGCTATTCCTGAGGACTCAAAGAACCCTTGGAAGAGACGATACATGACCAGAACACATCCTCCCCAGGTCTTCCAAGGATCATTCCTTTGGAACCCAAGTACACAGCTTATAATCAACTTCCAGCACCTCTGGTCCTCAACAAAGTATCCAGATGAAGAAGAACCAGCGAAAAACATCAGGAACCATGAAATATCACCTCCAAAAGAAAATACTCATTCTTCACCAACTGACACCAACTTACATGATATGATTAAACTAACAGAGGAAGAATTCCGAATATGGATTATTAGAAAGCTCAACAGAATCAAAGAGAAAATAGAATCCCAACATAGAGAAACCACAAGAACAATCCAGGAAATGAATAAAAAATTCTCTAAAGATATAGAAGTAATTCAGAGAAACCAAGCAGAAATTCTAGCAATGAAGGAAACATTTAAGGAACTCCATAACACAATGGAAAGCCTCAAAAACAGAATAGATCATGCTAAGGAAAGAATCTCAGAGCTTGAAGATTGTACCTACATGCTAAACAAATCAGAGGAAGAAAGGGTGCACAGAAACAAGAGACAAGATCAAAGCTTACATGAAGTATGGGATTATGTAAAAAAGTCGAATCTCAGAATGATTGGCATTCCAGAAGGGGAAGAGGAACATTCACAAGGGTTGGAAAACTTATTCTACAGCATACTGGAGGAAAATATGCCGGGCCTAGCTAGAAATCTGGATATCCAAATTCAAGAAGTGCACAGAACGCCTGGAAGACACAATGAGAATAGGCAATCACCTCGTCATGTGGTTATTAAGCTGACCAAAATAAATGTGAAAGAAGCAATCCTTCATACAGCAAGGCGTAAACAACAAATAACCTACAAAGGAAAGCCTATCAGACTAACCGCAACTTCTCATCTGAAAACTTACAAGCCAGGAGGGATTGGATGCCTATCCTTAACCTTCTAAAACAGAACAAAGCCCAACCTAGAATTCTTTATACGGCAAAATTAAGTTTCATCTATGAGGGTGAAATATCCTTCTCAGACAAACAATCGCTGAAGGAATATGCAAAGACCAGACCAGCACTACAGGAAATTCTCAGACCTGCATTCCACAGTTAACAGGGCAATAGACACTCCCCAAAATGAAATCCTCGAGGAATTAAAGTCTAGAACTCGAACTTCATAATGACTCAAGCTCTAAGTCAAAGCAACAGGACTTCGCCCATCAATATGAACGGAAATCTTCCTCCAATTTCAATCCTCTCAATAAATGTAAATGGTTTAAACTGTCCTCTGAAGAGACATAGGCTGGCAGAGTGGATAAAATCCCACAAGCCTAGTATTTGCTGTCTACAGGAAACACACCTAAACCATAAAGATGCCTCCTGGCTAAAGATCAAGGGATGGAAAACTATCATCCAAGCAAACGGAAGTCAAAAGAAAGTGGGGGTTGCTATATTATTCGCAGACAACATTAGTTTTAAATTAACAAAAGTTAAAAAGGATAAAGAAGGCCACTTCATAATGGTGAAAGGGAAGATCCAACAAGAAGACCTAACAATTCTTAATATTTATGCTCCCAATGCAGGAGCACCCAATTACATAAAGCAAACCTTATCAGAGCTAAATACCACCCTAAACAATACTGCCATAGTAGCAAGGGACTTCAATACACTACTAAATGAACTGGATAGATACTCCAAACAGAAATTAAGTAAAGAAATAAGGGACCTAAACAAAGATATTAAACAAAAAGGTCTGACACATCTATACAGAACATTTCACCCAAATAAAGTTGAATTTACA